GTAACAGCTGTGTGCAAGAATGTAATCTTAGTCTAAGAGAGACATATTTTTCAATTCGATTCATGCTTATGAACCCCTAGGGGAAATTTGTTTTGTGCCCAGCATAAAAGGACTACAAAAATAACCATCACCAACCAGATTTTGGGAAGAACAACATTTCAGTGCATGTAAAATAGTTGTGAAATTTACTGTTGCACCAAAAGGCACAGAGGCATTTCCCAGGCGGGAGTAGTGTAAATTTGCAATGGAGGGGCACTCAACAATACTGATTCCTTCTTCAGAGCCCTGTGTTTGAAGAGGGCATTCAGGCTGATCTGATTTACCCTAAATATTGTGCTACTTTTGTTCATTATTTCCCCCCATCCTGTACCACTTGTAGGACTGATGTCTGATCCTTTAGTTAAGTAACAGTAATTTAAGATGCTTTTTAATAATAATAATAATTGCTTACACTTATATAGCGCTTTTCTGGACACTCCACTCAAAGCACTTTTACAGGTAATGGGGACTCCCCTCCACCACCACCAATGTGCAGCATCCACCTGGATGATACGATGGCAGCCATAGTGCGCCAGAACGCTCACCACACATCAGCGATCAGTGGGGAGAGAGCAGAGTAATTAAGCCAATTTATAGAGGGGGATTGTTAGGAGGCCATGATTGATAATGGCCAGGACGCCGGGGTACACCCCTACCCTTTTCAAGAAACACCCTGGGATTTTTAATGACCACAGAGAGTCAGGACCTCGGTTTTACATCTCATCCGAAGGACGGCGCCTGTTTACAGTATAGTCTCCCTGTCACTACACTGGGGCATTAGGACCCACGTGAGCCGCAGGGTTAGCGCCCCCTGCTGGCCCCACTAACGCCTCTTCCAGCAGCAACCTTAGTTTTTCCCAGGAGGTCTCCCATCCAGGTACTGACCAGGCTCACACCTGCTTAGCTTCAGTGGGTTGCCAGTTGTGAGTTGCAGGGTGATATGGCTGCTATAATGATTTCCCTCATTTTTATGTATGACTGGACACAACTCGTCAACAAACCTTATTTGAAAGTGGGTTGGACGGGCGACATTTTTCCTAAAACCAGTTAGGCGTTTTTGTTTTCTCAGAACATTTGACTCGAAAGAGAATGCAACACGTCGTCAGTTAAATCGTCTGGACTAGGCCCCGCAGTTCTGGGCCTGCGGGCTTGTTGTTGGTTAGGGCAGCTTAAGCCTTCCATTCAGTGTCCTTCCCGTCCGAGGAGCTGGCAGCTGGTTAAAGGGTAGAGGACCCGGAGTTCGTCAGTTTGGATTTGGAGGAAGGAAGGCGTGCACGGGGAATGGTTATCACTCTTGGCACTGGAAAGCGCAAAGCGCACAATTCTATGCGCCGCTTTAAAATTGAAACGGTGTCGCTGTGCACAGGGATTTTGTGCCAGTTCCCTGTGCACAGGGGAGATGAGCTTAATGAAACTCCCCCAAATTCTTATACAGTTTGTACTTTAATACAGTACTTGTCCTTCTGTTTTTAACAGTCGGAGTGTTCTTGACCATCCATTATCATTCCTCTAATCGAGAGCGTAACCCTTCTGAATTCTCCGTGTTTTAAGTTTAAATATTGCCAAGCTTTTAGTATTCCGCAGACGGTCTGGCTGCCTGGCAGAGTTTGACATTTTCACATGACAGGTGGCTCCAGCTCTGTGTTTGTAGCCCAGAAAAAAAAACCCTTCTCTTCCAACAGCGCAGTGTGCCTGTTTCTACCAGAAGGCCTGTCTCAGTGGGGAGTGATAGATGTGGTCAGTACTGTAATGCCGATTATCTCTGTTGATAATTTTTCACCGCACTTTTAAAGAAGGCCTCCTTCTCCCCACCCCCACACAATAGCCACAGAGCACTGCTTGTTTAGCTTCATAACGTAAAAGAAAGCTCGCTGTACTGCGAGCAAGAAGAAGAAGAATGCTGTTCTTGTGCCCAGCAAAAAGAACAGCATTCTTCATTCAGCATTTTGATTTGCAGCCATGTAACTGCACGAGCCGCCTGCTGTTGAATTAACTGAAAGGGACACTGATGCCAGGCACTTTCCCCTCCACCCTGGAGCGGAGATGAGGTGCCTGCAGTGCCAGGCTGGGGACGAATGAGGTGTCGTAATGCTGCCAGTTGGGCTCTCGGTCTGGGAGGAAACCGGCCGCAGCATCCAGAGGTTTTTAACCAGGGGAGGAAAAGGGTCCCCTGGCAGGCCTGCAGCCTCAGGGTTGTTATTTATTATTAAAGGTCTCAGGGTAAAACTTGAGTAGTTTTGTCATGGCGAATCATTTCTGCTGTGAACTCATCTGTGGGTAATATTGTTGATCTGCACCCGCTCTCCGTGTTTGAAATTCTAGCTGAACCAAATTTATTTTGGTTGGCCGGAATCCGATCTAATGGTGATGGGTACGAGATTGTTTGTTGTTTTTTTTACTTGGCAAATTTGCAGGTTTTACAAACGTTAGGACATAATTATCAAAAGACTGGCACACACGTGCAAATAGCTATGGTGGAATATTCTTTTCAGGTTTAATAAGCTATAATCCATCTAGAACGTTGAAGATATGAAGTTATTGAGTAGAGATTTATTTGTAATGCGATCAACTGTTTGCAAAGTGTACAGGTTCTGGAAATCTCTGCTGGCTTCCAGGCAGGCCATACAGCACAGATGGTTTGATGGCATGAATGTCTGGAAGAATACTGAAATTCTTCTAGCTGTGGATTGGTGCATAATGGCATTTGACTTTTAACGTTTGAGTTAGTCCATACTGTGCCCTGCTGACGTCTTCAGATTCACATCTGAGAAGTGGCTGATTATTTCAGGTGGCAAGGTAGACCATCACATTCAGAAAAGTAGTCTAGGGGCGGAAATTCTAGGATGATGACAGCAGAGATTGTCTCGGGTGCTGCCTGTTGGTATCCCTCTTACAGTGATGAAGTAGAAGCAGCTTCTCTTTAGCAAGTGTCGGGATCCTGTGAATATCTTCTGAATATCCAAACTGATATATTAAGATGGTTTCATGTGCAAGAATCTCATTGTTGAGGATTGATTGACCTTTGGCCTTAAGGACTGGATTTGAGGGGCCTACATACTGTATACACATATTTTGTATGCACTACATTTAAAACCACTAAGCCTGAAAAGCTCCCTTAAAGTGTCACCTCATGGCTCCACCAGTAGGTTTCGAATCGCTCCTCTTCTGCTCTGAACTATGTGTCCGACCGCAGTTCTGCTTTGCATTTAGTGGTGTGGGCTGGCAGCGGTACCCTCTTGTCATGGGTGATGAACACACAGCTGCTGCCTCATGGTAGGCTTCTCTGGTCTGCAAATCTGTGGAGATGAAAAGACAATGGGCCTGCAGCAGAGGAATTGAATTGATCGCAGTGCTCCATGTACAGCTGTGATCTTTAATTAGTCTCATAGCCTTGCCTCCGGTTGTATAGGCTCTTTCTCCAGTGCTCTGGTAAACCTACTGAACTGTAAGTATCTGGATGCTGAAAAGCTCTTGCATTAGACATACAGCGAAGAAACCAGTCAAAGCAAACCCGTTAAACTCTGTAAACAACAACAAGTGCAAGAATTGGTGATTTATTAAATCTGCCAGTTATGCTCAGATTTGATTGAATTGTTCTGTTGAATTTGTTAGTATATAGCAGGTATTCAAGGTTTGCGCAGTGCAGTTGTATGTTCATGTTCAGCCTTGTTGTAATGCCAAGGTATTCTCATTATATTAAGGGAAACTGCTGAGCAAATGAATAATGAAATAGGTCGCGTCTAAAAAACCACGAGAAGACCTTGCTTAAACAACAGGCAGCGAGAAAGAAGAGACTTCCCCTCGCTTCAAGGCCACTGTGAAGGCCAGTTGGAGACCCATGGCCGGAGCCTGGGGTGGGGAGGTGGAGATTTGCAGGAGTTCCGTTTCCATGGAGCTCAGCCTGATGTGCTGGGACTGTGACCTGCAGAAGGCCTCAGTGCACGGGCACGCTGAATGGCTCTGCGCGATGTGATTGTACCACTCGCACAGAGAGAAGAAAGGCCTGATAAAAGCCCATGTCCTCCCATGTTGCTCTGAAGGATGTTCAAATAATGTCTATTCACACTGGATAACGCAGGTCACTGACTCATAGCTCCAGATAAGAAAAAGAAAGCAAGCCACGCTAGGTTTTCACTTAGTAGAGAGCCAACCAATTTATTTGATTTAGTGTGTTCTTGTAAGATGAGACCTGAACATTTTGCGACCAAAAGATCTTCATTAGAGTATCAAAACACACTTCATGCTGTGCAATAAACATAAAATAAACATGTGGCAGGTAAATATTCTTAGAATTACAGTGCTTCAGTTAAATGTTAAATTTAGAGAAAGTGGTAGATCTTTAACATAAGAAATGTCATAAGACAGGAGCGAGTTTAATCCTGTAAATTACTTATTAACATGAAGGGTAAGATAAGAACTGCAGTATATTACACTCCAAGAAGGATGAAAGGTCGAATTTGACATTTATCCAATAGGGAGTCAGAAGTTTAAGGTTACAAATCTAGGAAGTGTTCACATTTAAAAGGAAATAATCTAAATTACTATGCCTCCTGGAACATTTAACCTTTTCTATACGCATTACTAGGAATAATTAATTGAAACAGCTGTCGTAATTGATTTTAATTATATGCACCTGATTGCCTCTCTGGCTGCTGGTGAGCACTTTATTGGATGACTTTCAATTTTTGTGCTCTGAGGGAGACATTTTAATGTCTACAACATCTGTGATCCATCTCAAAACTATTGTTTTTTGGGGGGTTGTAATTGAAGGTGTGGTTAGCTCTTGGTAATGCTGGTTGTGTGATTTCCTTTTGTTTACAGAGATTTCTTCCTCCAGCGGAAATGACAGGTTTCCAGGTTCTTTCTGTTGTTTAATGATTCTCTCACGCTCTTCCATTTAACCTTTGGAATATGAATATGGGTGTGTGCTCGGAAACTGTGAGACTCTTGATGGTAGTTTAAACAGCTCGACAGCAGTGCTTCATGACTCTTCATCTAGACAAACATCAAACAAAGCAGTTCTTTAATTATTTCAGCAATCAATTGGCTGATTACGGAATGCATTTCAAGCTAAGCGCCGAACAACGGAGCAGATTGGAACAGATGTCTTTTTGAATTTGAATTTATTTGGATGTAACATTCTTTGCTTAAAGGTCACGTTGCTGTTTGTTTGACAACTATGGATTTGAGATTAAGTTTTTTAGAAGCCTTTTGATAGTCATGTCGATTTGTGCGGATTTGTAGTTTGATTTCTCAGAAACAAGCAGAGAGGTAAAAAAATTCCTTTTACTCCCACGGGTCCTCAGTCTCGAACTATGTTTCTTTGGAAGTGGTGTAAGTAACCTTACCATATAATTTAAAGAGCAAAAATGTTTTTCCACCAATGCAAATATCACAGGTGGTCTACAAGTCTTTTTTTGTGTTTTAAAATTCATTATTACGTCTTAATTTCTCATTACTGTTGACTAGACCCCCCTAGAACATTTGTCCAGACTGCTACTGTACATTTTTCTCCAGCAGTCACTAATTGTTACTCTTGATTGCTAAGAGCAACTCTGTACACCTGGTCGTGGGTTATAAGTCGAATACAGTGGCTCCCCCCCCCTTCCCAAATAATTTATAGATGAGTAATACAACAGAAGATCGTCATTATAATTAGTCCAGAATTCTGTCAGTCAGTCTTTGTACAATAGAAGTGTTGGATCTTATTAATGTCTCTAGTGTGTAACAGCCCATTGTTTTGTCTTCTGTATTTCAGGATAACCTCCAGAGGTGCATAAATGATGATCGGCTGAGTTGAGGAGACAGCTGCACAAGAATCTCTCCCGCTTCGCGTTTTATTTTTAAGTGCGTCCCCCTGTGGAATCACTGTAACGTTGTTCCGAATGGTATGCGGTTCTTATTGTCATCTGATTTATTCCGGGTTTGATTGTTTGCTTGTTGCAGAGGTGCCGAAATAGCCACTTTCATGCCAGCGATGGTAGCATTGTGGACTTAGAGCTTAATACTTTCCTGTCTGCTTTCACAGAAACCTGTCTTACATCAAAGCAGTTGTGTTTTACACATCAAAATCTTAAATTAGACAGTACAAGTAAACATTATGTTACATAAATATTTACCTATAATGCATTAGTTTCACACCATTCCTACAGGAAATCAGAACTCTGTGTAAATTGACTCTTCCCCCCCAACAATTACACTAACCCCAAGAAACGGATCCATTTCTGATGTGCCGAAGAGCACGTCCTGTAGACAGAAGCTGCTCTCTGTTTAACGTAATGTAGTTCCTTTTTGAGCCCTGTCAGATGGTAAATGCTACAGCATGTCATAGGATAGGGTAGCTGCGTCAGCATGCGTAGGCTGCAAAGGAACAAGTAATAGGTTTATTCCATGCTGAATATATCATGAATATTGTGTGCTGTATATCATAGGATATGCAAAGAGGTTAAGGTGTGAACTGTTCGCAACGGATGTTAGTTCTACCAGTAGGTCTGACAGCCTTTTGTTGAGGTGTTTTATTTTGATGATGAAGTTTCGAATAAAAGACAGAAAGTTTACGTTACAGATGCACGCGTTTGCGTTCCTTTTTAGGCCTTCATTCCTAGGCTAGTGCCATTGTAAATATAATGGCAATAAAACCAATTGTTTCTCAAGCTCAGGTTAACCATATTTTTAATTGGAGTGTGTTTGTGTTTAGTCTCCTTTACTTGAAATTGGAAAATTGGAGAATCAAGTGAATTTCCTGTGCCGGTGATGGAAATATGCTGTGCTAAGTGCTGATTTTTGCTTTTATTTCTAAAAAAACACGTTTTTGTACAACATTGTGGATCTTTTGTGCACTACAAACTTTGCTGTAATGATCAGTGTTGAAACCGCACTGGAACTGTAATATAAAGGACCGTGGTAGGCATCAGATCTGGTATATTCCAAACCACTTCACAGGGCTTGAACTGGTCCAGACCATTATTTTGTTTTAATTGGGTTGCAGCGTAACCAGAAGGTAATTTGTGTTTCTTCTTGTGTCCTTCCCTTAACCTTGCTGTGTCCCTGCAGCCATCTGTATGATGAGTCTTGGGCTATGGCCAGCGAACCCCTTGAAGGCTTCCATGAAGTTAACCTAGCTTCACCCACCACTCCCGACCTGCATGGCTTAGCGGAGACCCGAGCCCTCAAACACAGCTCCTCGCCCAACGTCCTGTACCGCACCCCCCCCTCTGTGAGCGCCGGCCCCTGCCCGCCCAGCGCCCTGCGCGCTGACCAGCTGCCCACTCAGCCCGTGTACTCTGCCCCCAGGCACCTGGGCAGCGAGGAGCCCCACAATGGCAGGTTGGTGGTCTTGTAGAGGGCAGTCAGCGGTGGTGCATCTGTCCTTTTTCATCCAGTTCAGGGTCGGGGGGTTTGAGCCTGGCAAGCAAGGGGCACAAGGCAGGATACAGCCTGGATGGGACGCCAGTTCATCACACACAGACACAGACGTACACACTCACACCAGGGCCAATTTTCCCAGAAGCCGGTTAACCTACCAGTATGTCTTTGGACTGTGGGAGGAAACCACACGAATAAAGGGAGATCACACAAACTCCACACAGACAGCACCCCGAGTCTTGAATTGAACTCTGACCCCCAGCACTGCGAGGCAGCAATGCTGACCACTGCACCACTATGCCATCCACTTCAGCTACATTCACAGGTTTCACTTTCCAGATGTTATTTTTTCAAAATGCAATTCAGTTTCCTTTGATGATGTAAAGATGGTGCTTGCCAACTTCATCAACAACAACAACAAAAGGCTTTTTATTAACTTGTGGGTGGTCAGAATCTGTTGAAGCCTACAATTTAAATCGGTTCACCTAGTGAAAAATCCTATATTTTTCTTCCTTTTATTTTGTGCTTAGATATTCAGACTGTTACTCCATCTGTAAAGATGTAGGGTTACTGCCGTGGATCATGAATATTTCATAGATCTATACATATTTAATAGAAATAATGTAAATGTAATTTTATGGCGTAAATGTAGCTTGAAGCAGACATCCAGTTTCTCCAGAAGGATCAGTGTGACTAGTGTAAACAGGAAAAGCTATGGTAGTAGATATGCCTATATTGTACAGTGAGTATTGTGCTCATGTGTTTTATCTAAAACCAGGGGCATTGGCCATTTGTCATTCATCTCAATGCAGCCTGAAATTCTTGCTTCCAAAGCAAGAGTGTACACCTTGGCTCAGGTCACGAGTTGCTTTTGTGCCGTTGTTGTGATGAACAATGATTCCTGGGCTCCCGAGGTTTTCCTCCGGGAACAGAGAAGGGCCTCCTTTGCCCTGCTGCTGCTTGGCAGGCCAGCGTGAACTGTGCTGCCCGTGTCATTCCAGTGTCCCAGGGGCGGACGCTCCGTTCTCCCATGGTGCCCGGCTGGAGGCCGACTTCCAGGAGGGGGTATCGGGAGGGCCGGGCGGCGAGGACAGCGTGGAGACTCTGGGCCTCAGCACCGACAGCCTGTCCCACCTCAGGAGCCCCTCGGTCATGGAAGTAAGAGAGAAAGGGTATGAGAGGTTGAAGGAGGAGCTTGCTAAAGCCCAAAGGGTAAGGCATCCCCAGCACTGCACGTGAACGTGACTCTCCTTCACAGTCTGTACTCTTCCACAGCTGTCCACAGAACTTTCCAGAAGCAGTCTGGACGAAGTACCTTGTTCAAGGGTATGGCAGCAGTGTCCCATTTGGGATTTGAACCTTCCAGTGTCAAGTCCTGAGCCCTGAGCTGTACTTGTTGCCGTCACTGTCCTACACAAACTAAAGCAAGGTGTTAAGGCTCAAGAGCAGGCTGAGCAGCGTTACAAATTCACAGACGTGGCGGTATTGTTCTAAATACTGTACAAAACACAATGGCAAAAGGTGTATTCAGCTCAAATGTCTTATCTATTAATATTGAGCGTATTTTTTTTTACTTTTACTATCAGGAGGACTAAAAAATCATTGTAACTTAGTTGGTCACCGATCTTGTGACTCTTTAAAAAGATTTTGCAATCAGAATTCTACCATTTTAATTTGAAATTGGACCTGTTGGGCATTAAAGGTTAATGTGTCAGCCCAGCAGGTTGATATAATAATTGGTTATTATTTCAGGAAAAAGAGTAAAAAAATCTAAAAGCAAAATTAAGACATTTCTGAATTTTATTAAGACAAACATAATCAATATGTGATAAGAATAATATTAAGAAACCGTATGGCAGTTTGATTTTATTCTTTTCTGATGAGCCCGTGAAAAAGGAGCCTCTTCCATCCTTGGCCTGTTCATACTGAGAGCTCTATTGATGGTGAAGGCATAGGAGGAGAATGGGAAAAGTCTTTAGATTTCTCCTAGTCTGAATGTCTGATCCTGACAAAGACAGCTTTCACAGGAATGGAGCAGGGCAGTGTGCAACATGGTAGTTCTTCAACAGGAAATTAGACCAAAATCCTCTTCGTTTCCAGCTGTGTTTCAGGGTTAAAACTGAAGGGGGTTCCATTCGGTTTCCTTCATTCATATCCTGCAGTTACCTGGAATTAGTCAGGTCCTTGTCTGCTGTGTCAACACTCTCCACAAACGCCTCCAAAATAACTGCTGTGTGTATTTCTGGCTGGCTTTTGTTCATACAATTAGTGATGAATCGGTGTTGGACTAAAGGTGATGCTTAAAGTAATGTATATATACCAGTTGCATTTGATTACTAAAAATGTTGGCACCCTACAGCACAATAGGAAAGAATGCATTTTGCGCTTAAAAAAACTGTGGAATATCCAAGTTCCTATGGATATCGTTATGGGTTAAGAAGGGAACCAGTGTTCGATTTGACTGGCCTTGTGAATCTCTGTTGCAGACAGGGATCACCAGAGGAAAATGGGACTTGTAGTGAGATGGGGATACCCAGCATATCCAAAACCTTCTTCCATGACATATGGGCTTCCCTGTATAGCTGGAGCTGGAATTCAAATGGGAGAAAATACATTTACATATATAATTATTGTAACGTTGTCAGTTATTTTTATGACAAGATATGGCAAAACAGGCAGTTCAAGTCTCAGAGTCCGCCATGTGGTAGCAGTGTGTTGAGTTTATTCCGTACCCCCAAGTGCTGTCCTGCAGCAGGTCTTACAAATAGCATTGCAGTGTTTTTCTCATGATAAAATGCTTCTCTTGCAAATATGTACTTATTTGTATGTTTTAAAAATCCCCTTTCTAGCTCTGGTAAATTAATAATACAGATAGATACACAACCATGGTAAAGAAAAACAGTTGGGAAATTTTAACTACAGTATTGATAACCAGTGCTTAGAATGTACTGTAACTACATATAAAACATTTGTTTTGAGACTTTAGTCCCTTATTTGAATTTTTCATGCCCTTGTTTCCAAGCCACTCGTAAGCGTGCAGATCCCCAGGTGGAAAATAGGTTAATCACCAGCTCCGAGGAGCCATGTGTCAGAGGCCTTAATCTGTGCTGACATTGAGAAATCCAGAGAGATCTGTCTGGCATGCCAGCGAAAGCACAGGTTGTACTGTGAAAGGAAACTTTATTCCTCTCTGGAATGCAGTCTCTCTGCACAACTAGGAGCTTAGCCTTCTTATTAGGAACTTCCAAATAAGTGCTTAGTGGTACACTGAAGATACTAATATTAACAAGTACAGTATTGTAAGTGTCCTTATGCATTTCTGCATCCTAAGCACAATTTGAATTTAGTCTACCACATCCTTGTAATAAACACCACATAGACAGGTTTCTTCGTTAACCTGCTCTCTGAAGTCCGTTAACTTACCGTAATGTGTACTTTCTTGACTGTTCTAAGGCACTTTATGCTTTTTTCCCCTTGTAATACATAATGCATGCTGCAGCCATCTAGAACAGCTAAGTTTGCAGTTGAGAGCTGTTGTCATTTCCCATTTGAAACAAAAGCATGTTTTCTTTAATGGGCAGGAATGCATTTCAATTTCTTTGACAGTTTCCAACAGAGTAATGTGAATTCAGCTCCCAGTTGGTCATGGATAAACAACTTAAAAGGCTAACAAGAAATGATTGAGTTACATTTTTCGAAATGGACACTAATATCTCGTATATACCCCTGCCCTTCCACAAGCCGACTGCTTAGGCTATCACCTGTACAGGGTTTGCTGAGATTTTTCTCTTTTTGAGGTATCCGTTTTGGGGAACTGTAATTCCTCCTATTTTTTTGTTTAGGTAAAGTATAGTGTCCCTCAGTAGCATTATGTTTACTCTGTATGTTCTCTCCTGTTCCTGTATTATAAACTATTCTACCCATGAGGCCTTGCAAACTTACTAGCGTCTGCACACCTTTATTACCATACAAAATTACTTTTTGCAGTTTATTGGCTATATACAGCAGGGACAGACAATTAACATACCATTAAGTATATGGGTCCAAAAAGTGAGGGTGAGATTGGAGCAGGATTTGGAGAACTGTGACGTTGAAGCGTGTGCACAAAAAGAGACATGGGTATTAACAGATAACGATGAAACACAATCCAGGTGTGAAACATGAAATTAATATAGCATAGCATTGAAATAACTAAAACTGTTTAATCTAGCCTAAATTTCTTTTAATAAAAAGGGAAACCCAGATAAAAGCTATTGCAATTTGTGTAGGTAGATTACACTAGGTCCATAGCAAAGCTGTCTTTTTAACAGAATTACTTTGCTCTTGGCCCTGTTTTTTGTATGTCAGAGGCAGTTGCCCTTTAGGACTTGCCCACTATCATCATTTTTCAAATACATTTTCGTATTTGTTTGGTCACAAAGCAATTCCAAATATAAGCCAGATTCTGTTTTTATGCGTTTGAAAGTTTTTTATTTTTTTCACAAAACTAACATACACTAAAAAACACAGAAAACAAGACAAAAACAGCCAGACGCTGAACAGAAAGCTCACACTTACTTATGCCTTTTTACAGGTTTCTAATTAAGATAAGTTTACGAGTTGAAATCCGTGATAAAAGTAATTTTAAAAATATTTTATGCGTTAAACAATCAGGGATATGTACAAAGCCCAGATCCTATGGAATTGCTTCGTTGTGCCTGTCCTACAGAAACGACAAATTCAGTTGTTTTGAATGGCAACACAGCCGAGAACCCCAGTGCTGGAGAAAGACTACAGAGCCTTAATGTACTGAATTAAATTCCCTTTGACTGTGCACGTCAGTGTCAGAACGCGTCTTTGAAGGCTTCTCTGAAGGACCATCCTGTGGAAGAGGGGGCTGTGGTTTCAAAAAGACAGAAAAGGCACGTATACAAAAGATTGCAGAGGCTTGCCGACTTGTCAGTCCGCTTTGAAACGAATTAACAAAGACCAGGAGGGATTATGGTGGGACACACGGGTTCAGCTTGCAAGGACTGTGGAGAAAGGCTGAAAACATTTCTTACTCCCCTTGTAATTACAGACTCTGAATCCGCACGCAGAGTGTGTTAGCCTAAGAAGCATGGCTGACCTTGTTGTCTAGTATTTTCACCCATTACCTTATCACTTACTTCAGGGCAGAGGTATTTTGCCTGTTGCCATGGTGCTAATCCTGACAGTGCTGTGTATGTATGAGGGATCTGCAGGAAGGTGTAAAGGACACGTGGGTCTGGACTTCAGTAGCTTGATAGGGGGGGGGAGAGGGGCTGGACTGCCCACAGTTCAGTGCTGTAGCTTGAAGGTGTGGAAGAAGAAGATTCTGTCACAGCCCAATGGTATACTGAACATTAAAACAAGCCTATCGTTACTTCAGTATTTCACAAATTTTTGTAGCAGGTACACTGTCATTTTATTGAAAAGACATGACTTGGTAAATTCATTATGCTGAATGACTTTCGTTATGAGCAGGGATTGATAAGCAGGGCTGTGCTGTGAAAATCTACATGTTTGTGACTATCGCTGGAAGCACTACAAGCAGTACATCAGCAATGCATGCTTTGCACCAGGTTGCAGGTATGGTGTTATGAGAATCTGTCCCTTTCCTCTTGTAGAGCCTGGACAAGCAGTGTTAAGGTGGTGTGAAACATAGCAATCTTTATACCACAGGTACTGAAAGGTGTTTTCCCAAGCACATTTCTGAGTGGAAAGCACAGCTTTTTATCATAACTACATTTTATATCGCAGCACGTATTAAGACCATTCTAATTTCTGCTTTTTTTTTTGTTGGTCTGTCATAGCGTTCACCATTAAAACCATTATTGCTTATTGGCAGTATGTGAACGTGCTCAGTTGAGTAATATAGAAATGGCTAACTCAAACATTTTCCTTTTGAGTCCTTACACATATCCTTGCAGTTCCTGGAATTCCAGTGGCCAGTGGCGCTTGGGAAAAGGTGTTTTTATTTCTGAAAAACTCTTGACAGAATCAAAGCTGTATTGCTGGCTTGCAGAGGTGTTTTCTTGTATGTTGGATAGGACGGTTGCTGAGGTGCAAACTGCAGACCCGCAGTACACCTGCTTTAAAGAATCTGAACATACTGTACGGTATATACTTTACAGTTTCGGCAGAGAAATAAGGCCTTTTCCTTTTATTTTTTATTTTATTTTATTTTTAAGGAACTTAAGTTAAAAGACGAAGAATGTGAAAGACTATCTAAAGTAAGGGACCAACTTGGGCAAGAACTGGAAGAACTCACAGCTAGCCTGTTTGAGGTTTGTTTGGATTCTTCATCACAATGAACCACTTGAGTTTCTGTGATTGAGCACTTTGAGCCAGTACGGATGGAAAGACATAAAGCTATTCAGTTGGTTTAGCACATCTGATTACCCTTTTCTCCTCTATAGGGTTGTTATAAGCTGGTCTCAAAATCTTGTTTTGTAAAAAAAAAAAGAAGATTTTGGGGAAATTATGCATTAATTTGAACTTGAATTTGTGTCATTAATTCCCACAGAGCAATTCCCCCCCAAAAAGTGCCGTGGCTTAATCCAGAAAAAATAGCATTTTTTCTCACCGTTTTTATTAAGTATTTTCAGATGAAATCTGCCCCCATTCACATCATAAAGGTGCGACATTTCTGCACTCACTGAGGTGTGATAAGTGGATTTCACATGTGGTTTCACAGATACTGCTAATGTGTTCATATTATTCTTATCAAGAATTTGTTTCTCCACTTTCCTTGTGGGTAGGTGTACAGTAAGGGGGTGAGTCTGCCCCCTGTTGGAGAATCTGCAGAAATAAGTTTGCTCAGGTTAATATAGTCCAAAAGAAAGGTAATAGAGGAAGGCATTCGGCTCATCTGGCTCATTTGGTTGCTACAAGCTGCTTGACCAAGGATCTCATCCATTGTTTCTTGAAATAAGCCAAGGCATCTTCATTAGCAGCATGCCTGGGTAGCTTGTTCCCGACTCTTCTAGTAGCAGATCTCTTACAATCGAGAGCCATTTCACACATCACAGAGAAAAGAAGCTTGTCCAATAAATTATTCTCTGCCATTATAAAGAATTGGAGCCATGCATAAATAACCACCAGCAGATTTACAGTTAAGCTGTGCTAAATCAGTCCATTAGCTCTATGCCGTTTTAGTTGTTAGTTCCTCTCTAATAAAATCTGTCTGGAATCTGTCTTCCTAGCTTAACGTTTGTTTTCCTCTTTCTTCCTTTTTTCGTTTTAAAGCTGTGTCTTAAAGGGACTGACAGGCTTTGTTTTGGGGGTGGACTTTCAGAAGGGCTTGGCTTGCTTGGGACGTTGGTTGAGGTTGGTTTAGAGGTGGGTGGTTAAGGCTTGTGACAGGAAGTGCGCTCAGGTAGCGGCTTTGGCCTTTAACCATGTGCTGGTCCACAGGAGGCCCACAAGATGGTGAGAGAGGCCAACGTGAAACAGTGTGCCGCAGAGAAGCAGCTGAAGGAGGCTCATGGGAAGGTGAGTGGAGAGCGCCCAGCCCTCTGAATGGGCTCATTCAGGTGGAGCAGGTGAAACATTAACAAGGCCGTTGCTTTGCACACTGCAGTGGTTTCAGTGCGGCACCGAATTAGCTGTTGAGGAAGATGAGGGCACTCAAAGCACAGCACCTTCCAGTTGAACATCACGAAGTGCAGAGGGATGCTTTTAGTACCCTGATCAGTACCATTTTTTGTGTGAATGTGAATTTGAAATAGAAGAACAGCCCTAATCCCAACTAGAATGAGTGCACCGGTGTTGACTGTCTCGAGCATGTTTTATTTCACAAAGCACGTGCTTCAGGGAAGAAAGCAGAATTAACATAACAATGTTGGACTTTGATCTTAATTGATATTGATTGATATTATGCGTCAGCATGCGTAGGCTGCAAAGGAACAAGTAAAGGTTTGTTCCTTGCTGAAAAGAGAAGAAAAAAAATGTTGAATACATTTAAACAACAGAAATGCTTGTGATCCTTTGTGTGTGCGTGTGGAAAGAGACACTCTTTTCATCACGATAAAGAGTGCCGGCAGTGTATAACAGCTAATGGCAAAAACAACGCAAAACAAAAAGCCTCACCATTTGTGTCTTTGTGCCCGTTTGCAGATTGATGTGCTGCAGGCAGAGGTAGCAGCTCTGAAGACCCTGGTGTTGTCCACCTCCCCCACCTCTCCCAGTAAGGACCTGCCCCCGGGCCCCAGAGCCCCTTTCAAGAAGGGCCACGCCCGGAACAAGAGCACCAGCAGTGCCATGGTGGGCAGTCAGCAAGAGTTCAGCGCCACTCAGCCCATTGTCAGGGACTGCAGAGAGGTATCGGCCTGCTGGCTCCTCGTGCTGTCGCACTGCCCTCTGCTGGACACTTCTGAGCCAGCCTCGGGCAGTAAACAATCATCTCACACTGCCTTCATTACACCACACAGTTAGGACTTCCTTTCCAAGTTACTTCAGGATACCTACTTGAGAGGTTATTTCTGGTTATTCACTGCAGTCTTGAAATTGTGAAAGCTGAGATGATGCTGAATGCAGGTAGTTTCTGAATTTAGACTTGTTAAAAGTTATGCATACTTCAGTTTGCTTGTTTTTAAAAACATCCCTTTTCCTCACTGGATTTACTCATGTGCAAGTGAAGGGAGGTGAGAACATGATAGTTCAGTGTTTATTTGAGACATAAGTTACAAAGCTGGGAATTTTTCATTTAAATGCCAAATCTTAATCCATAGAGTAATGTATTAATAAGGAAAATGACTAGAATATGGAAAAGGTTACAAATGAGACAAGGCCACTGCTGTTTGGTAGTTAATAATTAATCCAAGGATCTCATCCAGCCATTTCTTGGGGAAAAAAAAGTATCGCCTTCAGCAACATGTCTATGTAGCTTGTTCCATTGGGCAAAAGTACTTTGTTTTCTGTTTAAAATACTCTTCCATGTACTTTTCACTAGTGCAGTCTAGTACCCGTTTCTCTGTTAATTCTGAAGAAACATGCTGGATTGATGCTGGGTTTTAAACCTTGTTGCTTACTGATATGAGCAAACAGTGTTTCTCATGTGAAGTCTTACGTAGCAGTACTGATATTCACCCAAACTCCTGTTTCACACTATACAGGAAAATGGAGGTTAGGGTTCTTTCAGGAACTAGGTTCTGCCATTGATTGCAAAAGATTAAAATGAAAGAAAGCCATCTTCCCTATTGGTTCTGGATTCAGTAAGAACAGTGCTGGTCATATACCACTAATAAACTCAGTGATTAACCCAGTAATTCTCTTAAAACAATTTACTGTACATTTATTCCTCTGTTTACATTCTGTGTGTTATATTGCACTTTTTGTGGTAGTTTGTGACTTTTGTTTTCCTCGCAGGTGGACACTCTGCTTTTCAGCGAGTTCAAGGCATGGAGAGAAGAGCCCACTCTTGAGAGGTCTTGTTCCTTTTTGGATCGGATCTACAGAGAAGACATCTACCCCTGCTTGACTTTCTCAAAAAGTGAGGTGAGGACATCGCTTTTGAAGGCTGTGCCCATAAATTGTGTTCAATTTGTGTTAAAGAACAGAGAAGCAGCATCTAAGCAGCTACACAATGGCAGGAGAGGAGTGCAGCTTCAGTTCAGCTTATGTAATACAAATGTATCCAGTATATATTCCCCAGACCAGTTGGGCAGGATTGCAATACAGCACAGCTCTTACTGATCTGCTTTAACTAGTTATTGACTTGGTTGGAGCTGTGTAACAGATTTGTTTTGCTCCTCATGTGCTAAAGAGACATATACAACAGAAAGCCCTCTAGGACTAGAGCTGGGAATCCCTGATGTGTACCCTGACAGCCCAAGGCTGGATTTTATCTCTTTTTCATAGCATTTTTTAAATGCATAGATATTCCAGCAAACTCTATTAATATTTGACAGCGGATAGATTGCCAGTGTAAAAGGAAAACTACGGTTAAAAACACTTCTTCAAAATAATTAATAATTAATGTGCTGTCGTTCTCTGAAGTAGCACGAGACTGCCCCCTCAGGTGTGTTCCTGTCTGTGAACAAGCTTGCTTACACCTTTAGTAAACAGGCCCCTTGTTCCACTTCACACTTCAGAACATCATGTGGAAGGAGCTCTGTTGGGGATTCACATCTATGATCCGCATGAGTGCATTAGAAATAACATGTTTAAAGGTTGCTCAAATCTTTCAGTGCCATGGCACCATTTCACTGGAATAACCAATCTGAAACATTGGAGGGCATTTGCTTCTGGAGCATTTTTAGTTTCAAAGGGCACAATGCAGCTGTAAAGCTTAAACTCCTGATACGCAGGACACGTTTTTGCAGTTTCTTATTTTTGCTGAAAGTTTTAAGCTTCAGTTGCATATACTGAAGAAGTATTAACCTCCTCCTGCGTGGGCCTTTGGTCTTTAAGAGCTCCAGTGACTAATTCTGTGAGCACATGGCCCCTAGTCCAGAATTTCTCTTGGGCTGGTCTTTCTGCACTGGAGATCTCCATTTGCAGTCGTTTCCATTGATCCCTGTAGTTTGCAGAATATGGCTTCTCTAATTTTATTAAAGATCTGTATGAATGCTCAGCCAACAGTTTTGTTCCCCCAAAGTTGGCGAACTAAAATCTGTGTATTTTAATGTTTAATGACTTAACACATTAATTATTTAGCAAAAAAGCATTGTACTGGAAAACGCATGATTTCACCATGTCCCATGATGTCATGTGAAGTCTGATTAGGAAGTTCTGGGAGTACAGAAACATTTCCCTTACCACAGTTAAGCTGTGCCCTTGCAGAGTGAAATGACCCGAAAATGATGAAGTTGCTGGTTGTTGCCCATATTGGTTCTGTGAAAATGATACAAGTGGGAGCTGTGAGTTGCCAGAAAATGAGTTTGTGCAATGTTGATGCCTATGGGTTTTTGCTCCTTACCAAGGCTGTGTTTTAGATTCATTTGAATGTGTCTAGAATAAGAATCAAAGCATGAGCTCATGACCTGTCAAATTGATGTTGGAATCTCAACACTACCAGGTTTAGTGACCGTGGTTTTGCAGCTGCCAGCTGTCAACCCCAAACACGTCAAGCATTCTACTGCCCAGCAAAAGGGCATTCTTAAGGCTGGTTTCAAAACCTCCTCATCAGAGCCTATAAGATATAGCAAAAATAGCAGGAAGGAAGGTGCAGTTCATCATATCTTCCCCAGGGTTGCAGCTAGGAGAATGCCTTACACCGGTATGGTGGATCAAAGCTGTGATTTTCTCTAGGCTACCGAAATGTGACGCTGTCCCAGGCAGTTCTGTTGATTAGTGATCTTCTCTGGTGAATCGTGGTTCCAACTGTTTTGCTCCAGCGGATGCAAGAACGTGGAGATCGGGAGGCCGCAAATTCCAACCACCTGGTTGACATAGTACTGGTGCTATGCTGTGCATCACCATTAAAAAAAAAAAATGGACCTTGTTTTCAATGATGGTACAGGTTGGATGACTTAGATTTACAAGATGGCCTCCTGCCACTCTGCTATTGAGGTATTTTAAGTCTCACGCCCACGTTTTTGCTTCCCCTGTCACACAGACTTGCAGTACGATGAAATTTCGTACTCAGCCAACATGGCAGTAATGTGGAAGAAAATAAAAAGGCATCACACATCCGCAGTATGTTCCACGGAAACCTGATATCAATCCCATTGAGCACACGTGGGGTCGCAGATGTTGAAGACCACTCTCCTGCATAACAAATAACACAACATGGAACCTTTCCATTTGCACATCCCTACCACCACAAAGGGGTTACACTTCTTGGGCATATTATGCCTCTTGGCCATATTGTCCTTCGCTCTTTGGCGGGTTCTTCTGCTTCGAGATGGACAATTCCCTTTGTTATGTTCTGTTTTGTTATTGCTCATTGTACTGAATTGTGGTTCCGGTTGTTTCTTTTTTTTGCTGTTGCCTGTGGCGTAGACCTCTGGCTGTCATAGTGTTTTCTACACCCCTTAGCTGGGGAATCGGAGCTCACGAAGGCTTCATCTGAAAAGGCTAGGCCAGCTTTTAGGCCTCTGGGTTTCTGGTACTCCTGTATCTGAGCTCTCAGCTGGCAGGGGACTGTGCCTGTGTGTGTGCCTGGGCGAGCTGTGTCAGGGTTCCTCACTGATGGCGGCAGTGTCAGTGAGCTGTTCTCACACTTGCCACTGGTGTCCTTGCCCACAGCTCCAGAGTCCTCTGCTTCTGCTAGCTTTTTGCCAGCAGTTCTATGACTGGGCAGTAGCTTTTTTTTTTGTTAGCCACTGATAGTATAACTCACTGGTAATTAAATTAAAGAGCTGTCCTGTCGGTCTTTGAAAGGTGCTTATTTCCTTCTGCCAATGTACTGTATAAGATATAAAGAGATAAAAAAACACTCAAAAAGCAGAGCCGCTTTCCACAGGCAAAAGCAATATAAACACTGGAACCAGCTGGATGTGCGTTCAGTACTCCAACATTAATAACAGAATACATTTTATTTAGCATTTGTCAACATTTCAGCAAACAAGCTTTCATCAGGACACATGTCCTGCCAATTTGTCATGATGAAGGCTTGTTTGCTGAAGTGTTGACAATTTTTAAATACAATTTCGAGTATGGAACATGCTTCCAGCCAAGTCTGCTGTTAATACTTTATAAGATGCATCAACTGATATATACAGCACACCTACGGACTGCTGGAAAAAACACAAGCTAGTCTAGTCCCTTATTTGACATTGTAATAAGATATCCTGCCATGATGCCGACTCTGATTAATGAAAAACAGAGTCCCTGACGTCAGGTCTTCTGTAGTCCCAAGCTGCTGTTACTCATTCCTTCAGAGATAGAGCAAGCTTACTGCATATCTAACAGAGGGAGTAATAGTAGGAAGGTAATGATGAGACCTTTTATAAGACTTTTTTAAAATAACTATTCTGCCTGTAGTTTATAGAGTACAGGCAGTGCTTTGTTTTATGACTTTAGTATTAGAATTTAGCACTAAGTTGTAAAAGAGCCCCTTCCTCCCGGCTCTGGATTTTTAACGTCGGGCTGTTGCTCCAGGTGCTTGCTCGCTTTTCCTCTCACCCGCCCACACTCCGCAGCACACCAACTGCGCGTGCCAACAGCAGTCCCATTCCCTCTCTTTCCTCCCCCTGTGTTGGCAGCTGGCGTCGGCCATCTTGGAGGCGGTGGAGAAGAACACGCTGAGTGTGGAGCCGGTGGGCTTCCAGCCGCTGCCTGTGGTCAAGGCCTCAGCCGTGGAGTGTGGGGGACCGAAGTGAGTACAGAGTGGCAGCGGCTTGGCCGCAGATGATGATGATCATGACCATGGCCATCTCAGCTTACTTTCTCTTCCTGCTTTGGCCTATCATTCCTTTCGGTTTACAATTCGTAACAGCCTTGGCTACATATTAGAGTTGATTTCTAAGAGATTCATCCAATAATTTGAAGGCCCTTTGAAATTCACGGTGAATTTGAGTAGGATCCCAACCTTGATTTAAGTCACTTGATTGACGTCTTGTGGTTTATAACTGGAATCGGGTTCATATCTGTCCAAGGGAATTTCTGAGAGTCTTGAAATCTTCCCCATAATGTTAATTCTCCACCGCCACTCTGCAGTACATCGGAGATCTCTCCCGCCATACTCCTTTCTGTTAACCTGCAGGTCTGCGCTTACAGTCTTCGTTAGCATATTGGATGCAAGGGTAGCGAAAGAAACATTTTAGAAAATAAGTGAATTAGTGGCTTAAAGTAATGCAGATTGGCTTGTCTAAATCCTACGCAGTAAGGATAACTAGTACTTAGTTTGGTTAAGTAAAATCCAATATTCTAACTGGAGGTGTCCTTCTTGTTTGTTCGCTGAGCGTTCTCTTTATTTTCACTTTTGTTCTCTTGTTTCAGCTTTCTTTGTCGTTTGCTTGGCCTCTTTTTCATTGCCTCTTCATTTCTTTTCTTTCTGTTGTCTTGCCTTAGTGGCTGGAGGTCTGAAATTATAACGTAAGTTGCCTCACGTGTCGGCCATCTTCCCCACTTCCACAATCCTGCGCTCTCGTCTGCTTTTTTAGAAAGAGGTTGGTTTCGGATGAAAGAATTTTAGTTCCAGTGGCCCATATGTAAATATGCCTGTACAGAGCAGGGCCTCTGCCAGTATTAATTTTTAGTGTACAGATTACAGATTAGTTAGACTGGAAAGACTTTTAGGCAAAGATAAAATGAGGTTCTTGTGGTGTAACAGGGCTCAGTACGCTGAACCAGTCACAGCAGCAACATGGCTGCTCTCTGAAGTCTAGGCAGTGTAAAACGCTGGTGTGGCAGGAGACCTGCTGTTTTAGACGTTGCAGAGTTATCTGCTGTCTGAGAGTGAAGCTGTTCCTGCTTGCCACCACGATTGAAACCCAGAAGGAGCAGGGAGAGCTGTGCTCTTCACACTTCACACTGGAAAAATATTCACATTCCTGAGGTGTCATGATGTGATCTGGCTTCTTTTTTTCCTGATAGTGGACACCGAGAGCGACACAGTCACTCAAAAGGGGGAGTTTTAAACTTTGGGATGCCCTACTCCCAAGGGATTTTGGTGAGGGATAGTTGGATAAGATTCAGCGAGAGCATAGCCTCTCTGCTGTTGAAAATGTAGAAAGCAAAATCATGTTATTGTCCCAATAAACCCTGAGGTCAGGAGCAAGCTATCGTCAGCTTTAACAGATCCGGAGGAAAGTGGCTTCCTTCCCATCTCTGCTTTCATCCTGGTAATTTAACGACTTAGTTGTTCTTTCCACGTCTTTAACCATGCCGGTGCTTTAAAAATAACTGGAAAACCTCTAGCCCTGGAGTGCCCTGAGGAGAAGTGGGAGTGGTCAGGAAAAAAACTGTGCAAAACCACAGAAACTCATCCGTGAATCACAAGCTCTAGGTAGGGGGTAAAAAAGGGAAAAGCTTGTATTTTCATAGGGCAGCCTCAGCAGTGCTCAGTATTTGTGTCTTTGTCTTCAGAAAGTGTGCACTCAGTGGCCAGACCAAAACCTGCAAGCACAGAATCAAGTTTGGCGACTCCAGCAACTACTACTATGTGTCGCCCTTCTGTCGGTACAGGGTAAGTCAGAACACAAGTACAGTGTTACTCCTCCCTTATGTATCTGCCTATATTGGGTCATTCACTTTTTTTAAATGTGAAGAGAAAATGTAAAATGTCTTTGGTAATGATGGCAGCAGATCAAATTCAGGCCGTTCCGAGAACTGAGCCGAGAGTTTTTACTAGTGCCACGTCACGAGTTCAGTGCTTTCATCTTTAGTGCTTTGTTTATTTTCAGTAAGTGAACATTATGCTTTTGTTCCCTCCATTTTATGTCACCTGTCTTCAAAGTAAGTATTGAGGGTAGATTGATTTGAAAGCTCTATACCGTGGACAGATATAATACAAACTGCAGTACAGATGCGTGTATTGCAACATTATTTTTTTTATATATATATATCTGCCCACTCTCGGATTCCACTGAGATCAGATGTACAACAGACAAAAAAATGTAGAAAAAAGATTTTGTATGCTTGTGCAGTGTGCACGTGGAGTGCAGATTTGTGTGAATGTGAAACTTAAGTAGTGAGACTGGTGAGACCTGTAAGTGGAGTAGATATCTATTTGGGAAAGAAAGAGAAGAGTTAAAAATGGGATTCCTTTACTGCTTTTCAGTCTAATCCTTCCGTAATTTGATACACAAGCTTCACTGCAAATTTAATTAAGCTCTCCCAGCTCAGACCAGACCCAATTACTGTATACGTTCAGCCTATCCAGACAAGAACACTTTGACTTCTTTGAAAATTGTCAACCCAGCATTTGGTCACGTCTCTGAAATTCAAAGCTGTGCTCTATGATAATTGAGAATATTCTACAACTACACAAAGAATTTGGCCCTGATCATTCCAGCTGATAGCTCGATCTGTTATATTTTGAGGGGTGGGGGGTTGTGAAAGCCTGCATTTTAACTGCAGAGATTCCTGTTTAGTCTCTGAGGCCCAGTAAATAAACAGGGTTTCCCCTCTATTCAGGTTGTGAAAGAAATAGCTTTGAGCTTGAAACACTTAAACTTCTTTATTGACTTAAATGAGTATTGAACTTTAAAATAGCTACATTTACCCAGCAAAATAGGTTAAAAAAAAGAATTACTACAACTCTGTAAACACTATTTGGTAATTCATTTATTTTAACTAGGGTTAAATACATATTTATCATACATTTTCGTATTTCAATGACTTTACTAGTCTCAAAGTTATGAAAATAACATTTTTGTGGAACGAACTCTGGATCAGTCAGAGGCTTTTACAGATAAAGAAATGGTCCTTTCATTTTTAGTATCTGAGTTTTCATAATGGAATTATGCTAATAACAATCGAGGGATGCCTGTGTTTGTAAAGACATAGACAGTTTCTGAAATGAACGATGGTTGGAATCAGACTGGAGACGGCCAGCTCACATCTTGCTCCCCTTCCTCTCCGTCTCCTCTGTCCCTGTTCTCCAGATCACCTCTGTCTGCAACTTCTTCACCTATATCCGGTACATCCATCAAGGACTCGTCAAACAGCAAGACGGTAAGTTGACTCTCAGCTATTTAAAAGCGTGTCTGGCCGAACCCAGGATCATGTAATACTTCCCACATCAGGAGAAAACTAAAACCAAATCAAAGAGGCATGTTGCCTTAGGGTGAGAATTTGGTTGTTGTTGTTTTTTTTATTTCACCCCAGCTTACTCAAAAAGAGCTGTAACAAAATCGTTTTTTTATTTCTTGCCCTGGCAAAACTGATTTGGCTTAAACAAATTTACTGCTTTTAGCACTATCAAGCCTTTTTTACATGAAAGATTGGGAATGTGTCCAAGTGCTTTGGTGTAGTTGCACATTGGTATTGGTTCAATTTTGTTTCATATTATTTTTTTTTTCATTTTGGCTAGCCCTGCCTCTGCCTTGAAGAGTATTTTCCTGCAGGTGGAGGGAGGGCGTTTTAATCTGAGGACACTGCTTAGTGCTGACTCGGTTTTAAACCTGCTTCAATGATTATCGCACTCTCCAGTTTGGAGAGGCGTGAATCGGGTTGTACTGTACCATTAAACACTCAAGGAAGCAAGCCCCTCCGAGTCCAGTTTTTCTGTTTAATTTAGAAAGAATTCACCCAAGAGGAAAACCCCTTTATTCCCATCATTTGTAATATTTTGTGTAACTGTTGTGAATACTAATAAAAATGAATTAGTGAACTGCTTTTTTATGTGTTTTCCAGCTGAACAGATGTTTTGGGAAGTTATGCAGCTGCGGAAAGAAATGTCTTTTGCAAAACTGGGGTATTACAGGGATGAGCTGTGACTGTGAAGAGCAGGGATTTGAACGTTTCTTTCAACGAGGCACATCTCTAAAGGCAGGAGGACTCTTTTCAGTGATCCTCAATACCACAGACTGGCTGCAAGACATTTCACCCTCCTCGACCTGTCCACCCTGTATTTCAAGTACTGTGTTCTCAATACACCCAATATGTCGCAGCTGAACAAATTGCATTGGGCTTTTTTTCTGGCGAACTAAAAATGAAGGTTTTTGTGTGTTTCGAAAGGCAGAAGGAAGAGCTGCTGAAGATGTCCGCTCTTTGTTAATGAATGCATTTATTCAAAGTTTGATCCTGTTTGCGTTTGTGTTCTCTCCATTTATGGAAAAACCTGTACATGTGATGCTGAAGTAAGTCCATGTGGAATCCAAAGTGATTCATACAGTAACAGCAGAACTGCTCCCTCATAATAGGCTCATAGTTCTTAATACAAACTAGTCGCCAGTCAGTGGCATCATAGTTATGTATGTATTGTATGTAAGTATATCTATATCATTGTATGTTTGATGTATCATTTTACCTTTCTGCACTGGAATCACAAAAGCTTTCCTTAATTTGATTTAGTGCCTTTCTGGAACATATTAAATAAAATTGTATACCTCTGAGAGTCTTGGGAGTGCTGATACGTGTAGAAAGCGGAGGTGGATATGTACTTATGTAGTTTTAATTTAGTTAAAGCGATGCGGTATGTTCTATGATCCGGCCTCTGCCAAATGCTTGCGATCTTTAAGGACCCAACGGCGCTCCATAATGTCGTATAATTTTGCCTTAGATGTATTTTTCTATAATAGCCATAGTTTAGGAACCAGGTCCAACTTGTGGAGTTTGAGATTGTCTGCTTGTAAGGTGCAGGTGAAGAGCAGTGCTTTTTAATGGGTAGGGAGGCAGAAACTTTAGCCTTTACTTTTTGAAATAGCCTCATATACTGTGTGATACTGTGTATGTGGTGGAACTGTCTTTTTTACCACCAGCAAGAATACATTCATTTTTACATGACACTCAGAAGCAGGAAAATGCATTCAATAAGCAGACTTTTAAATATAGTGTTTGAACTGCAGTAGGACCCTGATTTGGCACATTATAATTATTGTGCTGGTAATGATTGCTTTAGAAAATGCCTGGCTGAAGTTGTTCACTGATACTGAAACGTCTGGTTTACTAGCCTTGACATCGTGTTATTTCTGTCTTGTATGTTGCATTTTTTAAGTGAAAATTATTAGTGAAGGAATCGCAACATGACTGAAGACACAAAGAGATCTGCAAACCAAGGCCCATCATGTCAGGAAATGGATGAGATATCGGTTTGTATTTTTTTCCTCTTTTATTGTGAAATTTGTCTCCCTGAAACTCCAGGGGAGCATTCACAGATCCATCCATCCCAACTTCAATAAAACTCTTTAAGGGGTTCAGTGCTATATTTTGGGGGTCCAATGGACTAGTACATTGTTCTAATATCTTTGCATATTTTGTAGTCTGGACTAAAACCAAAGCTATTTCAGTATTTGAGGCATCAAAGTGGAACTGCAGTCCCAGTTTCTCACACTGGTTATTAAATGTCTAACAAAATAAATTTGTTGATGTAGTAGAACAATTTGACCAAATCATGAACTTTGTGAAAGTACTGTAAGTTGTCAAGTTGTCACAAACATCTGGTCTTAGCACGGGCAAGAGTGAAAGTTCCCACAAACTGTGATGTGATGTGATGTGGCCCTTCTTGCTCACTAGTCACTAATGACTAATGTACTGTAATGTGATGTACGAGTGAACAAGTACAGGTTGTGCCGCAGACATTTCACCACAGAAGTATTCCAACATGATTTGCTTGCAGAGTTAACAAGTAAGTAGCATTTGTCCGCAAAACAGTCTTGAAATCGAGAGCAGCATTTCTATTAGATGAGGTGGGTAGCAGCATCAGCATGCGTAGTCTGCAAAGGAACAAGTAATAGGTTTATTCCATACTGAAAAGAGAAGAGAGAAAACACAACGTTTCGGCTGTGAAGCCTTCTTCTGGTGTGAGAAAGAGCAGACAGCAAAGATTAAATAGCACAGAAGAACAAAAGCTGGGAGAGGCCACTCAGGAAGTGCAAAGTGGAGAGGGGTGAAGAAAGGTGTGAAGTCAAAACCTGCATGAGAATAGAGAAGATTACAAAAAAAAACGTCTGTCATTGAGAGAAGGGGAATGGTGTGAACCTAGTTTTAGGTGCCGTTTCTGTAGTCTTTCTGCTATGAGAGTTGAGAAACCCTTTGAGAACAGAGACGGGGAGATCAGTGTGATCGTGGCCGTCTGAGGTGAAATGAGAAACACTGGGCTTGAAGAAATCTTTTATCTTCTCAGCCCTAACATGGTTTCTGAAGCGGTCCCCTAGTTTCCATAATGTAGATAGCTGGGCATTTGTTTGCAGGAGACACAGTAAATGAGGTTGCTGGAGATACAGGATGTTGTCTGGGTGATCTGGAATTAACTTGAGGGGCCCTGAAAGAGCATGTCGTTAGATATGCACTTGCAGGTGATGCAGCGAGTCCTGTTGCAGGGGAAGGTGCCTGGTGGGGGTGATTGCTGAGTGCGGTCAAGGGAGCTGAGAACCAATAGTTTATGTAGATTGGGTGGTTGGCTCTAAGAGATGATTGGGCGGTCAGAAAAAAGAGAATCAATGGATGGGATCGTCCTGTAAAATGGAATAGTTGTTAATAATGGTCCTGGGGGAAGAAAGTGTATTAGAGTGGTAGGGAAGCACCAAAGGAATGGGGTTGTGAGACTGGGAGTTCCCGATTTTAAACAAGCAGGCAAACAGGCTTGACTTCACCGGAAGTTTTGTTGCCTCTTTCTGAATCTTAAGAGTAAGGCCCTGTGCATACCTGGAAATTTAGTCTATTCTGTGGTGTAAATTGGAGGTGTTTACAAGTTAATGTGTACATTTGACTTTTTGTTGTGGTTTGAAATGCAGTCATCAATGTTGATTCTTTCTAACCCCCAAATTATAAACATAGCGTTGCAGTCCCTTATAGTGAAGGACTTTATAAAAGAGCCTTTGTTAACTAATATTAAAAATATTACTATGAACATCAAAGTGGAGTATTCAAATTGAGCTTACAGTATGTACCATTTACTAAAGCTGTGAAAGGCAAGAAAATATGCAGTGATTTTGAAACTACATCCAATCACTTTTAACTTAATTACAAAATCTCTGAAATCTCAAAATTCTCTAAGCACTTTAACAAATACAGGACTGCAAGGGAGCCAGAGCCTATCCCAACAAGCAAAGCACAATGCAGGATACTCTGTGGATAGGATGCCAGCCCATCAGAGGGCACACACACAGACAGCCATGCACAAGCTCACAGCAGGGCCAGTCAACCTCTCACTGTCTTTGGTCTGCTGGAGGAAACGGGAACACTCAGAGGAAACTCACACGATCTCGGGGAGAACATACAGACTCCACACAGATAGCACCCCAGGAATTGCACCCAGAGCCCCAGTGCAGTGAGGCAGCAGTGCGAACAACTGCAGCCCCACGCCAGGCACTGGATTTTGTTGGCACTGGAGTGATATTTATCCCCTTTTTTACAGCAAAATTTTACCATGACCTGAACTGATGTTTTTCGTTGATTTCAAAAGAGCCCTGTATTATTAATATACGTCTGAAATCCTGAAACATGAGAACAAAATATCCCAAAACCCGGCATTTTGTCTCCTAGCCATAAAGTTTCACATGTTTCACGGCTTGATGAGTATTTGTAAGAATTCTGTTAGCCTTCAAAAGAACTGTGTAATTATTATTGGGAATATTGATGTATTTAGTCTGACCTATGTTCAAGTATTTCAGCCACAATGGTCTCACTGGGAAAATGGCAGGGAGAGCCAAGGTCTTTTGCAAAATGCATCCTCCTCCTCCATCCTGCCCTTTGTGTGTGTGCTCACCATGACCACAGCTCTTGCTTTATGGCTCTATATAAGATCATAAAAACCCCAGCTGTACACCTACCTACGTAAGGTGTGGAGCGCAACTACATCCCAACGACAAGGGAACAAAGTCTACTAGGGAAGTGCAGAGACACAGCCTGGTTTTGAAAGGGAGTTGTCGGGGGAATTTCTTTCAAATAAAGGACCTAAAATTTTTCTAAATGGAAAATATTTCAGAGACTTTGAAGGAATTGTATCGTAACAGCTGCCAATGGATTACACTTGATTCCCTCAGTTTGGCGACGGTTTTTTAATTGAGTGATCTTTGTGAAGAGGTAAGCACCTGTCCTAGAATGTATCTGCGCCATCCTCCACTCAGATAGTGCCGATAAGATGATAGACGAGGGATGTTGACTCTTAAAGATTTTTATTTGCTGAGGATTTGATTAAGAATTTTTAGTTGCATTTTTCACAGTTCTTTGCAAACAAGCATTACCCGTTTCTTTCATAAAAAGGTTTATCTTTTCAGCGATCAGGTTTTTCCAATAATTTTCAAAAGCCTCGATAATATTATGGGTTGGTTATCTTTCAGCCGTTTTTTGATTTATTTGCTTTGCCTGGTTTTGTTTGTATTGCTGTTAACAAATGGGAGTTTGGCGATGCTGTTCGTAATTCATCATGTTAAATCTGTGAGCACAGATTGGACTAATCACTTCACAGAATGTTGTAGGCTTAACACCACAGGTTGAAAGTGTAAGGCTATGTTTCTGTTACATCTCTGGCTGCCTCCAGCTAGTGATCCAGATTAATAGGAAGATCTGTTGCATCACACAGGTTAGAAGCTGCCTCTCTCCATTATATAATGGAGCACTGCTACGTGGAGATGCACTGCCGTGTCTTGGTGTGTCAGCACGGCTACAAGCAGGGGAGTATGGGATAGAACATTCTGGGGCTGTACAGAATGCCAAAGAGTTAAAGACAAAAAAGTACAGAAGACTCCAGTTTTATTTCTAAGGGAACCATTATGTTTTATAATGACACAAACATTCAAACTAAATTAAAACATACCTGCTGAGATCTGGTATGATGAGATACAGATTTATCCCATATCTTATTTGAATAAGAATATATATTGTATGTTTGAGTTGGCAGGAGGTTTCTTGGTGTATAAATGACAGGAGTAGCAAGAATTTGTTAATTTTGTATTTTTGTTTCTGCATGTGCTAGCAGTTAAAGAACAACCAATCCCCTTTTTCTTTTTCTAAAATGTTGCCTCTACACAGGACTGGCCAAGCAACCCACCCTTTTTCAGAGCTAACAGGGGGTTCTCTCTTAAAACAGGGCCATTGAACTTCTTGCTCTTATATAAGTTATTAATCTTAGAAGAAACATGAACAGTAATTTCCTGGAATTTGTTGAAGGGTAAAACCCAAGTTTGTAGTGATATTGTGTTCTCAATACTAGCCAAAATGATGTGACTTTTCAAGAGATTTCTGTTTTAAATCTAGTTTTAGGCAAATGCCACTAAATGATTGTGTATCATTAGCATTTTAACAATTGCTTCTAATGGGTTTTAAAACATTTCTACCATTGTTTTTTTTTTTAGTTTCTATTCATTATCATAATGAATATATCCTAGGTTAATATAATATTTTAATAGAGCAGACAGCTATGAAAATAATTATTGGTTAAGCCAACAAGTGAAAAAATGGGAAAGTATAATCAATTTTTTTAATGTGTTTGAAAACGGCATAAACTTCAGAAATACTTCCCAAATGTCAGTGCAACACAAAATTCATGTTGAGCCCATACCAGTGTCTTGTCAAGTGAGATTCTGTTCTTTCATCTTTGTATAAATAAGTATGCACTCTTCAAGAAACAATTGCTTAATGACAAAAGAAAAAAAAATATTATGAATTATTTGCCTGATATTACCTTAAATCATATGAATGCTTTTTCTGCGTTTCTCTCTTGATTGTTTTTTGTCATTCAAAAGGAGTTGTCGGAAAGCTTTTGTTGTTAAGCGGTTCCTCATGAGGAGGCCGTGAAATGTGTCCAAGGGCTCCTCACACAATCCCAGGTTAACAAAGCCCTGAACAGAAGCTGTTTGAATCCTCAATCATTTTAAAGTGCCAGAACAATAAGTATAATACATTTGTAATTATTGTTAATAAAGGCTCTTCATTATGGTCACTTGTGAAGGTCGATTTTAGCATATAGCTCTCTCTATGATCAATGTGTTGATTAATAGAGCATAATCTACAATATCGCCTACAGCAGTTGTCAGTTTCTATTGTTTTTTGTAACAGTAGTTCATTTACCCCAGCTGAGTGACACGCAGCGGCCATCGTTCGCCGGCCTCGTTGCTCAGCAGATCAGGAAGAGAATCGAGAATTCGCTTCACCAGTTAAGAATTTAAGGACGGACTGCGTATGCGATCTTTTCTTTTGTGTGCCAAAAATACCTGATTGCACCTGTCATGAGTTAAATAACCCGGAATTTCCAAGTTATATATTTAATAGAAAAAAAATATCATTCTGAATTATTCTGTTATTAAGTAACAATTTGTTTTTTCACGTGTGAAAATGTAAAAATGTAAACAATATTTACCGGCAATTGGTCACAACAAAATCTTATGTTCTTATCTGACGGTTCAACCGAAACTATGCTTTGTGAAACTGAAGACATCCCCTTAGACTTGGTAAATGAGCGGACACCATCTCCAAAGATCTTAGATTTACGTTACAATATTGAAGAGCAATTTATAGTCGTTCTTTGTGTCTTGTGTTCTAGTATAAGATACTATTGACCCTGTTAAAAATTGTTTTTGTAGTATGTACTTTCTTTATTCTTTTATTCATCTCCGTTCTTTATTTGCCTCAAAATATTTTATTATGGTATTCGCAAAGAGACAGTACTTTTGTGAAAAAGAGCAGCTGTCCAGCACAAATGCGATTCTGAATTCCTTATGCTCTCATGATATGATATCTGTAGTTTTCTTGTAATGTCTCAGGACGTTGTTTTCGCCAGTTGTATGTTTGTTTCTCATTCATACTTTGCAAAGGGGACGGTCTCACTGTCGCTTGTCGACTCTGACCATGAGATGTGTATATCATAAGTATGAAGTAAAAGTGTGTCTGTCTCGGGCAGCTGGTTGCTGTGGACCCGCAGGGAGCTGTCCAAGGGCTAATGGATGTGCTCGGCGAGAATGAAGCTCTGCAGCAGTTTTTTGAAGGTAAGACTTTCGAAGTACATCGTCAAGTGTTCATTGGTCAAAACGTTGACTCTACCATTCTCCAACTGTCTTTTTTCTGTCAAGAAATGATGAGTTAATTTATTTCAAGCAAGGGCCAAATGAGATCCTCAAATCAATTATCTCCTAAAACCAAACTAGGGCAGATGATCCAGATGGATTCCATCTTTTTCATGTTCTTATATTGGAGAGAAATGTAAGTAATGCAATGGTGAAAGAGGTGTCTGGGCAGAGCAGGGTTTTTGCTATCATTACTAGGTAATTGACAGTAACTATATTAAAAATAATTTAATCCTTTGTAGTTCTATAGGCAATTTGTATTATTCTAACAGACTGATATTATTTCATAAACCACTGGATAATTATGTTTTATACAAAGTATTTTTTTGGGTGGTGATGGGGGTTATTTCATGCATAGTCATTGCTGTTTGATCTGGCTCGGTGCCTGCCTCAGGTATGACATTTTATTGATTAAAGCATTGGCAAGTTTTTTTTTATTTCTATTTAGTTCTATCTGAACGTGATTTTTGGAGAGGAATTTGTCTACTCAGAGGTGCATTACTGCATTATAGTGATGTGGAGCTTTTTGGTCTAAACTCAAAGTCTTTCATCTGATGCAAACTCAACACACCAAGTCACCCGGTCCAAACAATATCCTGACGCTCAAGCATGGCAGCATTATGTTCATAAGGAAACGTTAAAGTGAAAAAGAATGGGTAATAATTGCACCAAGCTGTTGTGCAGAAGTGATAGAGACATAACCAAACAGACCTGCAGATGTACTGTAATTGTTGCTAAAGGTGCCTCCATCATACAGTATATTGAGTTCATGGCCCTGAATACTTATGCAATCAACATATTTCATAAGAACATGAAAAGGTTACAAACCAGAGGAGGCTGTTCAGCCCATCTGGACTGTTTGTCAGTAGGTATCTCATCCAGCTACAGTATCTGTAGAAAAAAAAACAAAGTATTGGCTTTAAGCACATGGCTATACAGCTTGTTCCATATTCCTGCAACCCTTTAGGTAAAAAGTACCTCCTGTTCTTGGTTTTAAATGCTCAAAATAAGTTCAAAATAATTTCTACTTAGGTTCTCTGGTTTGTGTTTCAATGTTTTGAAGAAATCTGATGGGTTGACTTTATCAAAGTCTTTGGAGCATTTTTAACACTTGTTTGGTACATCCTCTGACAGTCTTCTCTGTTCAAGACTAAAAAGTCGGTTCCTTCAGTCTGTCAGTGTAGGTCATTCCTTTAAGGCCCAGAATGCATCTGGTTGCTCTTCTCTTGACTAATTCCAGACCAGCATTATTTTTTCCATAATGTGGTCACCAAAATTGTATTTAATATTCTAAATAAGGTCAAACAAGTGCATTTTAACATTACATCCCTTGATTTTAATTCTACAGTTTTTTATTACATTTTCTTTGCCATTTGTAATTGCTTCCCCACATTTTCTGGAAGATTGTATTTCCAGCGTGCAAAATCATTCACTTGTCCACTTTAAACATTACATCTCCCATTTGTTTAATCTTTTTGAATCTCATGTGCTGCTTATATAGTTTTTCCAGTTTTCCTAATTTGGTATCATCAGCAAACTTGTGTGTTTTACACACAGAATCTAGATCATTAATAAAAATTAGGAAGAACAGTGGTTCAAATTCAAGTGGTACTGACATTTTCCGTATCTTATCATTAGAAGCCTTCAATTTGTCCATTCAGATTTTAAATAAAATATTAACTTTTAAAAAATGTGTACTGTAATGTCACAAAGTGAGACACCACAGAAAGGGTCTCAATGCTATCTTTATCCATTGTATGTCTCGAACGTATCAGAGAACAGTGACCTCTGATAATATTCTAAGCAATAGACTTCAGTCTCCATGAAATCAAACATTTTCTCTTTGTAAATGTACCCTCAAATTGATAAACGCATGTTTGTCTGTGGTCTTCTTTAGGAACTGTAGGTTGTAAATTGTGCTAGTAATAGTGTTTTTTCAAATGTCAAGGCCAAAAGAAACCTTGACTAGATATGTAATGAATTAATGTGCATTAAACACATTCCATGATTCCCGAAATGGCCATAAAATCTTTCATAACAGATAATCACCATGATGACAAGGTGCTAGTTTATACAGGAGGGAAATCGAGCTTAGAGTCTTCTGTACTGTGATAGGTACTTTGATCTTTGTTCCATGGAAACTGAACACTGTGAGTGAAGTATCTAACCATAAAAACAGTGTCTCTCAGTGAGCACTTCTGCTTAATTGTTTGATTTCTGTACAAGCCACAGCTAGTCCGTACACATGCTTCCTGTAGCTAAAACAAAACTGATTTGCAGGTATCTGCCATATCTTAAATATCAAGTACGAGATAGTATTACATTTGAAGCAGTAGTGAATTTGTGAACAATATTGATTCCTATATTAATGTCTTCCGTTACATATGCAATAATATTGTCCCATGCAAAGTTGCATTGACTTTAACAACAGAAGAACATCGTCACACACAAAAATCTAAAGGAGCATGTACTGTCTTTTGTATACATGAAGTACAACACAGTGTCAGTAAGCATTACTGGGTTAAACGCGTGCCGTTTTCGCCGTTTCTGTGAAAACCAGAAATGACACGACTTATCAAGCGTGTTATTCTTGATGTGAAACTGTAGAAACATGTACTGTACGTAGGTTTTTGCCGTCTCTTTAAACATTGAACGAAATACATTTACGATGACTTGACAGAACGACCAACTGTTGGATTACTGTTATTGTTGGTCACTCGTTAAACCTTTAAATACAAAAACTTCAAAAACTTTTAGACTACAGTATGCTGACATCATATACTTATGAATTTGAAATCAAACAGCAAAATGCGGGAAAAGTGACATTTGAAGGGAGAAGTAACCGTTTTTGTGTGGCCGTTTGCACAGACATGAATGTGAAGAAATAGGGGAATACCAAACAGAAACAAATCCAGGACGGCACACAGCTAGGTATACAGTTTGTACACTGCTGTGATTAACATATTGTATCTCATACAAACGCAATATTTTTTTTTTCTCCGTGGCGCTAAGTTTCCGTAACTGCCAAATATAGGAACGTAGTTATCTCCCCGATGCCTGTTTGCTACCCTCACTGGATTGAGCATTATGCAAACTGCCTTGGTTGTCCTCAGCTGTATTTACTGAACCCTGGCCCTAGAAATAAATCCCTTTGTAAGAAGCCTGCTTTCATGTTGGGGGATTCTTTTCTAAACAAATCATAAGGCAAAAGGTAAGCACCAGGGTCTTAGTTTAGCAAGCTAACCTATACTGACAACTGCACCTATTATTATTATTATTATTATTATTATTATTATTATTATTATGTACATCATGTGTAATGAAGGTACTGTACATTACATCTGCCCACAAGTTACAGAGTATAAATAAGATTCTAAAGTCATCTCTTACTTAGGTGTATATTTTAAAGATATCTTTAATTTTTAATTATGTCTGCCAGCAGGGACAGTAGAAATTAAGAAAATCCTTTCCTAGGTGGACTTATTCAGTTTCCAGGAGTTTATTCTTCCTTGATCAATGAGCTGATACATGACTAATCCTTAATGTCCTTCAGCAATGTGTACCCTCAACTGGCAATGAAATGTGTGCTTTGTACTTTGTTTTCTTACAGAGCTTTTAAGGCTGACTTGAGGGTAGATTAAACAAAGACTTTAACCCAACTGCAGGGTTCTAAACCCTGTAACAGGTGGATGTTTTTTGTTTACCTGTGATGTCGTGTAACACTGAGTTTTGGGTTTATTTTCAGGTGGTTTAATATTCTTTGCTACAGATAAATGTTTTTTTTCCTCCTGACCAAAATACCTTGTGTGTTTCTTTCCATTTTACAATTAAACCCTTAAGTCTTTAATATATAAATTATCAGTTTCAACATTAACAAAGGACAAGACGGGAAGGTATTCTCTCCGATGATACAGTCCCTAATTTCTTTTAGCCCTATCTTACCCCAGTAAGGTGACTTCTGTCTGTAGAGAGGTATGTTCTATAATTATCTGGTTTAAGAGATACATTGGGCAGTTTTGCCTTAACATCCATTTATCCATAGTACAATCGAAAGAGCGATTTGTGAAGATATGTCTACACTGTGAATGCTGGTCAGCATTTTTCACATATCAAGATTAAAAGGTGATAAGATAATAGGCATAAGGAGTCATTACCAAAAAAACTAAATTTTCTTCAAGATGAGCAGGATAATTTTGCAACTTTTTTACAAGAGCAAAACTTGTATCTAAGAAAGTAATGACATATGTTTTCAAAGATTTCAGTGGTATATAGTGGGAAGAAACAGTAAGGGTGTGGAGAAGAGTAATTAATTTGCTGTTGGGAAATTCCCTCAATTTTACCTCGAGATAGGTAATGTGGATGAAAATTGTACAATCTGTTTTCACAAAAAGCTGTGAAAGCATTTTGCCATTGTATCTAATAGAAAATATGCTGCAAAGCTACCAGTACATGAGGAACTGAACTCCACTCAATCCACCCAGAAAACTCATTGGAGATCCAACTGTGTGCAGAACTTTTCTAACCCATCTTCTCTCTCTCATTCAGCACTGACAGCAACAGGATCAAGGTTAAGAGCTCAAACAGAGTGAAGATATTTCTTTAATCACAAACCACATGACGGTGCACTGACAGTGCAAGGTCTTGCACTCATAAATGGGTTGTGAAGCAGTTACAACAAGGTCATATTATTTAATTGCACTGAAGTGAAATGTTAAAGACTTGCCAGTAAAGAAAATAATGACACTACTGTCTCAGAGTTCACTAGTCAAATATAGATAAAGTGTATATTTAGTCACATCACAGAATTACAACAGCAATGGCTTGCATTTACTTGTAGTGACAAAGCCAGATACCAAGGGGATTCACAACATCCCTACCTGGATCTGAGTTAACACTCAAAACCAAGAGGTGGCAGCAAGAAATGTAATTTTAAATGGATTAAGGAATGGGAATTTCAGGCTGGCCTATATTTATTATCTGAACTGGAGCTGATCAATGGAACATAAGAAAGATTACAAATGAGAAGAGGCCATTTAGCCCACTTGGCTTGTTTGGTTGCTAGTCACTAATTGAGCTATTTCAGCCATTTGTTTAAAGAAATCGGGATATCAGCCTCAATAATGTGACTGGGTAGCATTTTTCAGACTTTCACAAGCCTCCTGTTCTGGCTTAGAAATACAATACCCAACAGTTTCCAACTGTGTCCTCTGGTTTATGTTTCATTGTTGATTCTGGCACTGGGGGATGATACTGCCCTTTTTACAAAACAGCCCATGATATCTTGCAGTATCCCCAGTCTGGATGTGGTCTTCAGGTTTACTCCATTAATGTGTGTTAATGAAGCATGTATCTAGTCATTTTGTGTTGTAACACCTGTTATCATCATGCAAATGTGGGGGACATGTAGGTAGTACCTCAACTTGGGGATACCGTAATTAGTCACGCCTGTAGACTAAGACAGTTGTGCAGCAGAAACACATCTGCACTGGGGATGCTGGCATGTTCTCTCACGCATTGGCATCAGTCTTTGTACAACCTGCCTACACAAAAAGAGTTGTGCATCTTGATTCTTTATTCTTTTAAATATTAATATAGAGTACCTCTAAATATTGTTGTTACAATGAATGGCAAGGGCAAAGTAAAATGTACAAAATAACATGTAAAATTTTTTACATCACAAAACAGACAAACTTTCCAGGAATACGTAGCGGCATATTCTGCGATTCAGAACGAGGCAACAAAACTTCTGGTGAGGTGAAGCAGCCCTGTAATATTGTAAACAAGAAGGCTTATGAACACATCTCTCTTAATTCAATAGAAATGTTGCTCTTGACTTCGAGACAAATCCTTACTTATTTACGCTGCATCATGTTAGCGCATTTCAGCGGTGAAATGTCTGCTTATTACCCGTACTTATTCGCTCTTACATCTTATTACATTAGTCATTACACTGACCAGTGAGCAGGAAGGGCCGGTTCACATAGAAATGCGTGCAATCTCTCACTCTCGCCCGTGGCGAGACCAGGCACTTGCAACAAGATGGCGACCATACAGTTCTTTCACAAAGTTCCGGATTTTGTGCCTAATTCTGGATTTGTAACATGATACCGTCAATTTATTTAGTTACTGAGGTTTAATAACTTGTCTGAGAAATTGGGACTGCAGTTCTCCTTTAAGCGTTCTGTTAGTGTGTGTAGTGCAAGAAAGCATATTCTCTGGAACAAAACCTTAATGTTATAAAGCGATGTGAGAGAAACAGAAGAACATGATCTCATCTGCGCAACTCAGTTTATAGTAGTGTGTGCCGTTAGCTCTCTTGCAAAAAATGTTGTACCACTCTTCTCTACTACAGTTTCTCATCGCATATCGATGTAAATATTGATGCATACAATGCCTTATTTGATCTATTTATTCACTGCTTCTATTGACAGTTCTCACATAAAACACATTATGCAGAAGTAAAACATTCAAACTAATTATATGACCAATTACTATAGGCAAATACTTTCATTATTGTGAAATCGAGCTCTCTACGCCTTGGTTTAGAGCTCATGTAATTTAACTCTCCATAGCCCAATTCTTCAGAAGATTTTCAGAGCGTAAAGAATCTTCAAAGAGGTGAAGTGTACTGTTTGCCATGGTAGGACACCAGAAGAAAGCCACCTTTTATGACAGGCTCCTCATGCTTATCATTATCGCTAATGGTTTCAGTAGCAGACAAACAGATGGGGTCTGAGGGTTATCATTTAACATTTATTAGAGGTGTTTTTTCCCTCAGGTTAAAAAGTCTGGAATTTCACTTTTTCTTATTGGATTATTAGTTAATAACTAACACCGATCAATAGTCTTGCCCTAGAGAGACAACGGATGATTGTTTTAGCCCACACCTGCTGTATGAAAAGAAAGAGGATGGATTATCTGCTGTTACCATTGTTTCTGGAACGCTGTGAATCAGAGAGAGTATTATGAGTGACTGCTTACATTTTCTGCTGTACTGTTATGCTCCAAACTGAAAATGAAAATCATAGTTTGATTCCTCTTAGTTCATTTGTCCAGTAATACATAATTGTATTTGTGAAATTTGTATATGAATTGAATTGCAGTATTTCAGAGAAAAAAATAATGTAATATGGTGTCTGCTGTTTTTTTATTGCATCTTGGCATTCATATACATTATAATAACTCAGTCTCAATTACTGAAATAATTAGCGAAGGTTACCATTATTTTGAGCCATTGAGAGATCTGGAAAACATGAAAAACAATGCTGAGGTGTCTGATGAAAATCACTTACCTAACTGATTGATAAATGATTAACATAGCCCTGTTAACCCAGTTTGTCAGGAGACCAGAGCTAAACTCCCTGCTGAGATGTGAACTTGTAGCCCTCTGATACTGAGGTACAGTACAGATTGTCTTTGCTTATCTGCCACATGCAGCCAGCACGGGTAATCTAATAATAATAATAATAATAATAATAATAATAATAATAATAAACTTGAATGTATAAAGTGCCTTTCCATGCACAAGGACGCTGTACATAGTGATAAAGACAAAGACAAAAAATACAACAAGATTGAATATTTCTATTATGTTGGTGATTTTATTTTACTGCTGCATGATGTGTTTTTATCTCAGACCTCATTCATTTCTCATTCTCAGACTCTTCCTGGTTTTCTCCTGGTGTCTTCCTGTATCACTTTTGCTATCCCAACCAATTCTACTCTTCATCCTGCAGCCTTTTAATTAGCCTGCTCCACTTAACCTAGGACTGTTGTTAAAGTTGGACCTCTTATCCATCAACTGAGTGGAACGCCTAGTGCAGACACCAAAAAGAAATAAGTTTACTTTCCTATGAACTCCCAGAAACATGACTGTTGAATTAATCGGGTCTGTGTGTACTCGGCAATGGACAGGCATCCTGTCCTCGGTATATTCCTAGAATGATAGACTAGCACCCTGTCTAGGGAATATTAATACCTTGTGATGGACTGGCATCCTGTCTAGGGTGTTTAATACCTTGTGATGATCTGGCATTCTGTCCAGGGAGTATTTTGTTCACTGAGTAGTTCTTTGTGTTCCATTCTTTTTGGAGGACTTTTGCAAGTCGTCCATCGTGAGTTGCCACAATTTGAACACAGCTTGCTTATGGTTGTGCCATGCTCAAATACTTATATGTATACTATACTACAAGTATCTGTAGTGTATCTCTGTATACCATATCATGTTTGTACCTGTCTTTCACTTTATTGTATTTTACCATGGTGTATACCATGGGAAACCTTTAGAAACTTTCACCTCTCAGTGTTCATATTTTGAAGCGGAAAGTATTATGGAATGAAAGAAAATGGAAAATGAAGGGTAAAATTAAACCGACACTAAGAACTGCGTTCTTTTTTCCTCCCGAATCAGGACATGACGTCACTGGGGTCCTGGAGAGTCCAGTGGTGGACACCAGCATGCTGGAGCAGTACCTCAGCAATGACCTGGACCCCAGCACGTTGTGAGTGTCTCCCCTCTGCTCCTGTTACTCTGCTGGCTCTACTGCAGCCTGCATTTCTTATATCAGAGCCAGAGCCAGGGATATAGACAGTGCATGGCCCGAGACGCATGTTGCTGGTCTACCCATTTAAAAAATTCTGATTCTGCTGGAATATATGCATCCACAAACGGCCAAGAGCTCTTAAGCGATTTGGTAAAGGTTAGATTTATGGTTGGTCTGGGACGACCGTGCCAGTTGCAAAATCCTCAAGAGCTGGATTTCTGTTGGCAAAGGATTCTTGTGTCTATGCAATGGATATCCACTTCCAGCACAGGTTTTGGAATGTCTTTTTGATGTTTTAAAGTTCTGCTTCAATGCTGGCCAGAGTTATAATAAAGCACTCGAAACTCCAGAGAAACCTGCGCTTTGTGTGAAGTGAGGTTTTTAAATTTGCCCCATACAGTAGTGATGAATGAATAACCTACTGTAAGCAAACCTTAAACCGCTAAAGTGATTTTAAGAGGAACTTCAGAAAAGGGACTGTTCCAAATATAGTACTAAAGCTTTATATTTCTAATATGTAAACATACTTTTGTTTCGTAGGTGGGTTGTTCTGGGAGAGTCTCCCATTTGTTCAGTGTTGTGTGCTTTTCTATTCAGAAGCAGAACTGACAGTCCTCTTGTGTTTCTCCCTGTTGTTCAGTATGCTACCAGAGTCACCCCCTGACTCAGGATCTGAGCCCTGCTCTCCTCCTCAGATACCAGGTAAAGTGCGAAAAAACATAAAAATATAACAGCCTTACTTGTTTACAGATGCTAGGAGGCCTATTCATCCATCTTGTTTGTTCGGTTTGCCAATAACATTGTGACCCAAACATCACATCCAGCTGTTCCTGAAAGATATCAGGGTCCTCAACACCACCATTTTAGGTAAAACAGTGACTAACGTTTCTGCCATAAATACACTTCCTCACAGTACATGACATTTAAAAAAAATAGATTTCCCTGCCTCTGATACATAGTCATCATTCAGATAAAATTATCCTTACAGGTTCACAGAAGCTCATGAAATTTCGAAATGCTTTAAGCAAGTCAAGTGGAGATGTGGTTGAAGCTTACTTGATCCTTTAGATGATGTCCCGGTATAATAATCACAGTTACCCATGTGCAGAATTGATTAGATACGGTAGCTATTGTACATGACCCCCCATCACATGTTCTTTTTTGTAGTGAAAAGATACCTGGGAAAGAACAGTGAAATAAAAGCATAAAGCACAGTGTACCTATAGTTTAAAGATATGGTTTTCTGTGCGTTTACAGTATGTATTCTCCCTGTATTTAAGCCCATGCCTTTACTGTAGCCTATTTTATATTTAAGTGTTAAATATCTGTCAGTTATGGCAATTGTTGAACGTGATATGCATAAAAATATTTATATTAGAAAGAATTTGGTTTTCTGAATGTGAAAAATTGAACTAAACATGGATTTGAATAATTAACAGGATAATTGAGTAGAGTGGTGGAACAGATATTCCAAGTATCTGTTCAGATTAATAGTTTATGTTAGGGAATCTAATATGTCCTGACACCCTTAATACACAGTAACTGTTGTTACATTATAATAGTGACCTGAATATGCGATGTCAAGCTTTCAAACACTAGAAAGGTTACACGCCAGGAGAGCAGTCATTTGGCAGTTCTTGCTTGTTAGAGGCTAATTAATCTGAGGATCACATCTAGGGGATTCTAGACAGCATGCCTTGGTATCTCATTCCACTGGGCATCAAGTTTTGAAACTGTAAAATTACAGTGAAAGTATAGTTTGCAAAGGGCAGTTCTTCCTGTGCTGCTCTCCCTATTCACAATAAACAGAATGTACACTGTTATAATTCTTTATTTAGTTTTTCTTTGGTCATTTTTAAAAATCTTTCTTGTCTATTATTTTTTTTTCTTTGGAAAAAAAAAAGATTTCGCTGAATGGCAATTGGAGTGTTAAAGCTGGTGCTTCACGTTCATGTCTGCTTCCAGATGTGCGCTCTTGTTCTTCATGGTCGGATCAGGTGATGCCTCTTCCTGCCGAGTCACCCAGCACCGCGTCCTGTCTATTTAAAGATGGGATTCCAGGATGGCAGACCGGTCCACCCCAGCACCCGGACTTCATGACGCTGACAAACAGCTGTGCCAAGCCCAGTGCCCCTCCTCTTCCCATCCCCTGCCTCCTCGAACCCTCACCTCCTTGTCAGGGCACAGCCTTCCCCTGTGTGCCACCCAGACCCCCTTATCTTTCAGGGTAAGTTGGACAACAGTAACCAGAAACGGGAATGGAGATCAGAATGTATCTCCTAGTTTGCTGGGAACTGATACAGAAACAAGCTTCTTGTGATGACCTAGTGCTATGAATCTGAAAATCCAAGGCAATATATTTAGTTTAGTTGTTGGAGGCACTGTATCTCACAGAAGGTCAGTGGAAGTTTTTAGCTGCTGCACACTGAGCACATTGGCCCAGACATTCAGCTACCCAGGAGTACACTCCAGGTTACCCTGGGGGATCCTCAGATGTTCCCAGGCCATCCACCAACATGGCATGTTTTGATCATGGGGTCTGCATCCAGTAGGTCATTTTCAGAGGAATTCCAAAAGGTGTCCCTGGGTGCCTGACCTGCAGTACCTTGATTGGCTCATTTCACTCTTGAAGATTAGCTTCTCCTAGATCACTGAATACCTCATCCCAGAGGGTGATCTCAACAGAGAAATCTCTGTTGAGATTTATTAATCATGCGCTGTTGGTCATTACCTCACGTTCAAGACTCTATGTAAGGATCGAAACATAAAGCTCCACCGGCTGGCCCTGCAATTGCCTTTACTGATGGAGCCACTCAAGAGGCGTTTCTTATGTTGTTTTCTTTTAAAACAAAAACTCTGGTACATCATGTTCAAACAAATGTCATGGTGCTTCTAAATCAATAGTGTTTTTACTTAGAACTTCTATAGTGCAATGTGTTTTAAGTTTTACCAGGTTACGGTAAACAGAGTAAAAGCATTGTTGCTAATATTTAGGTTCGGTTTTAGTCATTGTTTTTGGTTTTGGTTTGGTTTTTAATTGGTTTTCTGCTTGGATTTACTTGGATTAACCTGTTTAACTACAATGTGTTTGCCATGTCAAAATGGCAAGATAATCTACTGAAATTAAATGTAACAAGTTTACAGACCATGAAATGACCCTAATAAAGACCTTTATAAGGGTCATTTCACCTTAAAAAAGTGGTGTAGAGAAGGAGAGGTTATGTCTGCAGCATTAGATTACCTTTGCCCTTTCAGTTTTCAACCTGATTATAAAAATCACACACCTAAGTGTCAGGTGAGGTGGTTCTTTTTCTCAGAAATAGTAGGGAGGTGGCTTACCTGCCCTGATCTTGCATTCCCACAGATCCGTGTTCCCAGAGCCCAAAAAGAGGAAGCATTCGGACTCTGTTGAGGGAGGAGTGGACTCACACCCCTGGAATGATCCAAGCAGACCGAAGAGGCCAATTAGTAAGCACTTCTAGAACTCCTTAAAATCACAGCCAGGTATGCCCAGAAACACAGCTGTAAATACTGTTAGTGTGGCCGACGTTCCTATTCAGGGTAAGATAATGAAGTTTGTTTAATGGACGTGCTTTACAAATATTGTATATGGTAGCCCACAAGTACAGTAAAATAAAACAATAAAATGACACTGAACTTAGAACGATGAAAGTGGAAATGCCACTCAAAGACTGAAGAGAACAGAAACACAACTAAAAGCAGATGATAAGAACTAAAATAATTTCAAGCATGTAGGTATACTGATGGAACTGCTATTCGATAACATTAGCAGTTTAGAGGTAAAAGAAATACAGGACCTCTCCCACCCTGGCTTTAGTATGCATTAAGACATGTAAAATAATAAAAGTCTCGAAGAAGAAGTTATAGGATTACACCCAGCAAGGCTCCTATAGAAAACAAATGAGGGTGTTGTGTTTGGAACATTTATGATTATTCATTTTGATAGTCTGAGAATAGGACAAGGATTAGATAAGGAAGGTATACTTAGGGGCAAGATGGTACACCTCCTCAAATCTGTGCGCTGCAATGCTCTGCTGGCTGATGAGTCACTTGCCCGTCATGTTCCCCACTTCCAGCAGTGAATGCTGAGCCCAGTGGTGAAGCCCCCAGCTATGACGGTGATGGACAGAATGGCGGCTCTTGCCCAGGAGCATACCAGTCCTTGACCTGGGATGTGTACCAGTCCAACCAGTGGACAGCTCTCTACAGCAGCAGCTATAAGAGCCTGTGAGTTCCCCTGCTGTCCACGTTTTCCTGCTTTTGATTGGTCTGGCACTCACATCACCATACAGGATTTCAAAGATGGTTGGTAAGACACCCACTGCTCAGACAAAAAGAGCCCTGCTTCCTGCTCTGGGGATCAGAGGATGTGGAGAATATTGCTAATGTTGAGTCACAGCTTTGATATTCTGATGAGGTTGTGGGGATTTACTTTCTGTGAGAAATTTGACAGCAAAGCGCACAGAATTTGTCAAGTTTGATTATAAACTAAATAGGTTTTTACATTGGAGTGGAAAAATCATACTTTGAATGGATCAGTAGATAGTAATGAGTCAGCAAAAATGGAAATGGAATGCCTCTTACTCTCATAGTGATATTTGAATTCACAGTGGATTATCCAATTTATTTGTCTGGAAAACATAGTTGTACTGATTTATACAACTGGGTATTTTACTGGAAGAGCTGAAGTGAAGCACCTTGCTCAAGGGTACAACAGCATGACCACCTGGGATCTGAACTCATGACCTTCCAGTTTCAGGCCCTTAACCCTGACCCTGACCTCGCTAATCAAAATGTGTCTGAAACACAAAAGCATGTTTGTTCTGAAGCATGTTTTTTGCATCCCTTGAAAAATTCAGAAAAGCAGAGTTTTTCAGTCTTATTTATTAGTTGTTAAAAATTGCAGTATTTTCTTGACAATTCAAGTAGAGTTCCCTATCACATCATGTACTGTATGCTTTGCTACCTTGGTTTTTTTCAGCCCTGCTCCTGGCTACCATGTTGACACGGACAAGGGGTTCAATTATTCTGCCACAGATGAAGCCTTTGTATGCCAGAAAAAGAATCACTTCCAGGTCACAGTTCATATAGGGATGGCTGGGAACCCCACATATGTCAAGACACCTCAAGGCGTCAAGCCCATTGAGAACTTTTATGTGAAGGTTTTCGGCATCAAGGTAAGCGCTGTCTTTCCTGTTTTTCAGAGGCCAATACCAAATCATCCATGTACTGTAATTAAAGATATCAACAATTGGGGTACCTGTCCTTTTACTTTTCATTCAAACTCTGTGTAACTGTAGGCTTATTGGTAGTCCTGTATCCTCGTCCCATAAGGCTTGAAACATTCTATCGGTGCAAAATGCTTAAATTATTGTGCCTACTTTTTAATGCACATTTTTTCTTAATTCGAAAAGACATTTAAGAAATGTCAAATTGAGGATTGAGTAAAAGACAAGAAAGGTATATGACACCTTGTAACCTGATTTTGTCAAATCTCAGAAGCTAAGCCAGGCTGTGCCATGACAGTACTGGGATAGGAGAGCACGATTGAAGTTGCACCCGCAAATGGTGTTGGTGGACCAGTAGGTGGCGTCCTTCCCTCTGATCCAAGTTTTTGAATTTGGTGACTGGGTGAACCGTGCTGTAAGTGTGTTGTCCTTCAGATGAGACGTTGAACTAGGTCATGTCTATATGGTCATTCAAGATCCCCTGGCTCTAAGAAAGAGAAGGGGTGTTAATCTTGATGTCCTTTCTGACCTTCCTAAGGATCCCTCTTTAATTCAGTTAGTGACGGAATTTCATACTTTACCTGATCTGCTGTGCTGACTGGGGAACGGACGTGCCACTTTGATTTACTGAGTCTATGTGGGTGTTGCACTTCATTGGTGAGCGAAGTGGGCCCCCTCCTGTTTGCAAAGTGCTGTGAGATCCGTGAAAAGGATGAAAAGCTCCACAATAAATATAGGGAATTGTTAGAATCGTAAATACGACACCTTGATTTTTTTTTAGTGTGGAGTATTCAAAGTTTCTAAAAAAATCTACTTTCTAGAAATCCTTTGAATTCAATTTATAAGTGGCCAATTTGTTTTCCAGGATGTGATAGCAAATTACATTACTGTAGTGATCACAGTGATTATAATAATTCGTAGTTATGATCTCAAGATGTGAGTTGATCTCAAGGGCTCTGTAATTGAAACCTCTAATGTAATGTCAAATGTAATGTAAGATCAAAACCCGGAGAGCTGTTTAGTATGTAGAGCTGAAATGGGTCTTAAATGAAGACAGCTCGACAGCTGAAACACTGACTTCCTTGGCACCATGTGAGCTGTGAAGTACAGGTGTTTTTCTAAGTTACGGACAGTCTTGTTGGACCTCTGTGCTTTCTCATAGAAATATAATAGAAAAATAATATTTTTTTACGCCATTACAGTTGTGCCTGTCTGTTGTGGTGTGAAGTTAAAAAAGAAAAATATCCGTCATTATTTTAATTATAATCCCAGACAGCACTAGGAGGGATGTTAACCAGCACCTTATGACAAACCCAATTACTATAATATCTCACAAAACCTTCTCCTCAGGTGGAGGCCCAGAATCACGTCATCACCATTGAGCAATCGCAGTCGGATCGTAGTAAGAAGCCATTCCTGCCCGTCAAGTAAGGGTTTCTTTCCTATATTAAAGGACATCGTCCCGTGTGTTTTAGGATTGGTCATATTTCCTTTCACTGTGTTATTTTTGATGTATAATTCATCTTTCTATCATGATGTTCCTGTGAATGCACAAATTCTGATACCTGTTATTCATGATTTCTTTAGGCTAGGCTGAAATAACAAGGAACGTGTTGCCAAGATGCAAACGTGTGTAGAGATACAGAAAGTCTCAGCACAGTGTCCTTGTTTATAACAAAAGGCTCTCCAGAGAGCTGAGACACAACTGTTGTCTCCTTCCCTCAGCTCTTAGCCCGATGTTTCTAGGTACTCTTTATACCATACAGATAGCATCAACAGCCTCGTTTGATACCATGAATGTTGTGTTAGGAAACTGTTCCAAACAGCTAGAGCTGGGGTTTGTAAATATCACAAAAATTCATCTGTCAAACTTTTCTTTTTCAGGCAAAATAAAGACCTGTCGCTGATGTACTGCCTGCTTTCTAAAACATAATGGAAAGACAGGCTCTTCAGCTGTAGCTGTACGGATTGAATTATTTGCCATATACACAAGCTCCAAAAGAAAACAGTAAAGGGTCCATGATCAAAATTATTGTATCATTATAAGTTGTGCAGGTGCATTTGTTTGCAGATAAGCTTTAAAAAGTCAGGGTTTATTTCAAGACACAATGGGAATGGAAGAACTAGCTTGCGTTTTAAAGCATGACTAAGATGACTTAGTGTATTGGCGTAGCAGCCAGGCCTGCCTTCCTCTGCCACTGTGACCTGAGTGGCGTAGAAGAGTGGGGAGTGACGATGGCTGCTCTTTTGTCCTTCAGGGTCAGTCTTCCAGAGGACAAGATCACCAAGGTGACACTCGGCAGGCTGCACTTCAGTGAGACCACAGCCAACAACATGAGAAAGAAAGGCAAACCCAACCCCGACCAGAGGTGAACAAAGCACCTAATTAAATCCCTCACCTAGCAAACCAGCTCTGAAACCATCATCCATTATTCTGTGTTCAGGGTCACAGTGGAGCTGGAGCCTATCCCAGCAAGCAACAGGCAGAAGGCGGAATACATCCTGGACGTAACACCAATTCATTGTAGGGCACACAAACGCACACACTCATACCAGAGCCAGTTTTTCTATATGCTAATTACCCTATCAGTATCACTAGAGTCTGTGGGGGACTTCCTGGGGGAAACCCACATGAATGCGGGAAGAACATGCAAACTCCATGCAAATAGCACCCCAGGAATTGAACCCAGTGCTGTGAGATGTGCACAATTCTAAATGAATACACAGCATTGGACTTTGTTTTTTTTAATGTAAAAGTGAATGAAACAGAGAAGCAGGATCAACTAGAAAAGGAAGCTGATGTATATTAAATATTGTGAATTGTAACCCAAATGAAAACAGTTAAAATGAGAATCTAGTGCATTTACTGTAGAATCATATCCAAGGGGTGAGAGTTTGGATGTGATTGTGACCTTGCTCTACTGGTTTTGTGTCAGGTACTTCATGCTGGTTGTGGGGCTTTACGCTTCTGTGGAGGAGGAGCAGTACTTGTTGGTGGCTCACGTTTCCGAACAAATTATTGTCAGGGTGAGTAATGCTTGCTTGAAATAGACGATAAAACACGCAATAAATCATAGGTTGTGAGCGAACCCCTCGCATGTTGTTTTTCTGAATTTCATTTTATGGGTTTTTTTTTATTGCCGCTGACACTACAGAGGTCAGCCAGATTTAAAGGGGAAGAGCAGTGAAAACAGTTTTGTGCTAGCAACAGCAGTGCGGGAAAAGAGAGGTAACATGGACATAGTGAAGCGAGATTACTCTGGTCGCTGCCACGCTCATTAAAAACCTGGGCAATATGGTGTGGTGTTGAGCTGAGAGGGCTGTCTGATAATGAAGGGGAGCAGCAGAATTAGGCAGGTCTGGCCTGAGTGAGTAGAATTCTATGTGAATAAAAGGAGGCGTCGGTGGCATCTGTCTGTGGAATGAGCCATTCCTCTATAATTATCAATCTGCCATCTTCATTCAAGGTCACACCACAGGGCCCTGGAACTGAGCCAAGAGGGTGGTGTGCTTAAGGAGGCTCCCTTTGCTAATGCATAAAATCCTCTCCCCAAACAGGGCACACGCA